ACTACATTGGTTTGCTTTCAGGCCCTTTCCAGAGTCATTTCTCATCCCTTAACCAAATCTCAAAGGCCATTTGCTATTCCTTCCTTCCGGATGCACCGATGCTCTTACCCTGCAAGCCCAAGAGCCACAATATGTGAAGTAGCTTGTAAAGTATCATCAGTGAACCAGCATCAGAAGCTGATTTTTAAATCATTTTATTTAGTATCTAGATTCCAGCAGCTGTGTAGAAGTACTCTCACAAATCTGGGTATTTTATTATGCTGCCAATATAGAGATTGCACAGATCATAACTTTGTCCTGCCAGACTGCTGTGTGGTCTTCCAGTTCTTGCAGACTAGTTTGTATTGTTATCATTCTTTGCTTTATTTAAAGTGGAAAACAGACTAATCTCAAATCAAGCTGACCAGGAACCCTGGTGCACTTAGACCTCGTGTTGCAAAAAGCGCATCTTTTCTTCCTGCCTGTGATCAATTTATAATTACTCCAGATAAAAAGAAACCACAGAAAGCACAGCTAGAGGTAAGTCACAGGTATCACAGTGCCTAGCAAGAAGGAAAGCAAACTTTGTACAGATTATTCTCAGAATTTTCCTGGAACTTCTATTTTTTGCTTCTGTTTTTCTGCAAGGTTTTGGTCCTCCACCTAACACGTATCAGTAAATCAAAGAGATCGCAGCATTTTCCAGGATACTTTTCATAAAGGAGCAGTGAGGTTCAACAAAGAACCCCAATCCCATAGCAAACACTGTGTAACACTTTCATTTTATTAGGGGGGAAAAAAGAGAGCAATTACAAAGCTGCTACTGGGATTGAATATGTAATGCCCTATTAGAAACTACTACCTAAAGCCACTGACACCTCTCAGAGGAAATGGTGGGAATACATCCATAACTTGTAAAAGACTGATCAAAAGACTGGTGGTGAAGTAACCTTCATGGGGACTGGAGGCTCATCAAATGTGGTGAACAGCATCTGACTTTAATGTCACTGTTTGCTTGTTAATGCCATTTGTGTTTAAACAGGGACTTAATCTTTCACAGCCCATCTTAGCCTTTTATTTGATTCTTCAAATAGTATCTCATCAAGCCTTACGCATCCTCAGTATTGACAGAATTGATAAGCAGGAAAAGGTGTTTGGGGCTCACAGTTTTAGATCTGTTGATCCTGTCACTGAGAAACTGGCTGTTTAATTTGTGTTAAAACTCAATATAATACCTCTTCATAGTGCAGAAATTCCAAAATTGCTGGAAAAAAAACCCAACAGTTTGCAGGGGCATAATAACATTAAGGAAGCCTTTCGAGAGAAGCTGAAGACAACCTGTGAATCACAGAGTCATAGAATGATTTGGGTTGCAAAGGACCTTAAAGCTCACACAGCTACGATGCCCTGGCATGGGCAGGGACACCTTCCACTAGAGCAGCTTGCTCCAAGCTCCTGTGTCCAACCTGGCCTTGAACACTGCCAGGGATGGGGCAGCCACAGCTTACTTTGTCCTGTCCTCTCTTGCCCTTGCAAAAAGCCCTTCTCCAGATTCCCTGTCAGTCCCTTTAGGTACTGGAAGCTGCTCTAAGGTCTCCCCTTCAGGAGCCTTCTCTTCTCCAGGCTGACCCAGCCCAGCTCTCTCAGCCTGGCTCTAGAGCAGAGCTACTCCAGCCCTCGCAGCATCTCCATGGCCTCCTCTGGTCTCGCTCTAACAAGTTCCTACCTATCTTATGTCAGGGAGTTTTATTTTTCCCTTGAGCTTATAAGAAGCTCAAAGCTCCACAGTATCATTAGTCATAAACCAGACGAGACCACAGAATTCTTCTCCCATTTCAAGGAGGAGAGACATAATGGTTGAAGGAGGCTATTTGTTCCCACGTGCAGTTTGCACTGCCACATGTTGAACTATACACAATTATTTTGCACCATATTGTCATTTTCCATGGATGTCTTCCATCTGAACTTTTGAGGCAGGGTGATACTTTGGCATCAACTGTCAAAATTCACTGGACACCAGAATCAGGCAAGTCTTAAGAATGTCAAAACCATTGAATGAAAGTGAAATTAGAATAACTGAAAGTTTATGGTCTTATAAGAATACTTTTTTGCGCTGTATCCAACCCAAATACTGGTGTGTAGGATATATTATTTGCAGCAATTAATAGCACTTTACTGGATTTATATGGCTATTGTGGTTTCTGGACGTTTGTATTTCTGAATGTAGTTTTAAAAGAAAAAAAAGCACAACCCAAAACACTGATAATATGGATCAAAACATTTTCCACCCGTTTAATATGCAATATACATGAGGACAGTTTTATTTCTTAACATACACTTTTACCAAGTTCAATAAATTACTGCGTTCACATTTTCATTAGCTATAGTCATGGAGTTGCAGATGGCTCTTAAAAACCAGTCTTTGCTTCATTGTCCATGATTTTTTCATGAAGCATGTCTTCCTAGAGATTTCTTCCTCCTTAAACATTTATGTCATACCACACTGGGTTGTCAGGAACACTGATTGATTTATCAGTCTTCAGTATACTGCGTTGTTTCACTTAGGTTTCAAATCCCAGCTTCACCATGCTGCTACTCTTATACTAGGTCTTACAGTAAAATGCACTGATGCTGATAAATTACTTACTACCTACAAAAAATATTACTTTATGTAGATACCTCATAAAATAGGAAACAGATGCTTTCTCAGACTGCTAGGACATTTTTAAAGCTCTGAAATATCCCGAGCTTCTCTCCTTTTATCCATTCATTAGATCATTTAGCAGCATGGACAGCTATTGCACAGTGCTGGTCATCCCGGGCACAAACTCTCCTGCTTACGTACAGCAGATATGTGTGCACAGAAAGCTGAACTTTAGCAACAGTCACCACTAAGAAAGCTCAGAGGTATGTTAGTTGAAATTTTTATTTCCCTTCTTAGGGAAAAAACCTAGTATTTGAAGTCCAAATCGATCAAATTTGAGTGTGGGTATATAGGAGTAGCACTTGTTCCCTCTTTGTGAGTCATTAGACCTGTGTTTCAGATCTACTTCTGTTTATCTGATGCATTTCTCAGGAGCTTCTTCATACTGTAAGTGTACAGGATATTACAGGATTGATGGGTGCACTGTTTTTCTTTTGTCTTAACTATTTTCATGTAGGCTGCAGCTTAACTTGGAACTTCCGTAAATTCTGTGCATGAGACACCGTACAAATGCAGAGTAACAAACAAAACTCCCTCAAGACCTCATAAAATGAGTGGAGAAGTGGAAGAGAAAGTGCTTCCTTGTCTTGGGTGGGAAATGAGTCAAGAAGAAGGAGATCCTGATAAACTCACTCTTTCTGGGTGTTGTTTAATGCATGGGGACTGCATGGGTCAGCATTAGATAAGGTGACATGATTTAGAGGTTGGCAAGTTCACAGTAGAACCAGACTGCGCTCTCAGTGCCATTCATTAGCCCTCTCTTTGTTTTATTTACAACTTCTCTGATGCTGTATTTCAAAGTATTTAACAAACTGCTACGACAGTCAAGGTTGATGCAGCAGTAATCTACCTGTTCAAGATGATTCCAGTTAACTATGTAATGGCACCAATGCTTGGAAGAGGTGTTGTCTGGATAACAGAATAATCCTCTCTCCTTTTTATGAAAGCTTTAAATCTTTTATGATTCATTTCATCCCTCACTCAGAGGATTAAGCCACCCTAACACTGTGGTCCAGCATCATTAAACTGCATGGTTCCGACTCCTAAATACTTTTTGAGTTTTCCTTTGCAACAGACTATCGAAAACCAGACAGAAGAGGAGAATACATATGTCCACATTTAAAAGAGTTAGAGGACTCGTGTTTTTTTCTTACACACAAGTTCTCCAGCAACCATAGGCAGCAGGAGTCACATAGAACCACGAGCAATACAACAGTAGGAAGCTCATCCTATTCTCTGCTCAACCTGCTCTTCTCATGTTGACCACGTGCCTGCTTTTGTTCCAGGTCTTCTCAGACACTTACTGAGCTGCACAGTAAGAACAGATACCAATGGGGTGAGATTTCTGCCCCCTAAACGGCTAAAAGTTTTGACAGAGGCTGCCAGCATCAGGCTTACCAGACACAAGAGGAGCAATACTGCTCGGGGGACTGTTCTCTTAACAGATCAGTGCCATTTCCTGAAATCACACCTGAAACCCATAGAATTAAATTTAATGAAGATTCTCTTTAACAATAGGAGACTGCAAACCTACCCAGATGTGAATTTGGTAACAGTGATGTATTTCAGGGAGGTGTGTGAACGCTCAGCAGCAGAAGTATTCAAAGAAAGGATGTGAAAGGGCCAGAGTCTCTCAGTGACTGCGATAGAGCAGTACGGATACTTGAGGTTAGCATGAAAGCAAAAAGAAATGAAACAAAACTGGCACCACAGAAATTAATTTGCAAATAAAAACAACTTGCTTCATATTTTATAATTTTTGGAGCCTTAGAAAAATGCTTAAGGAAATTATTTTTGGAGGAAAACAACAAGCTGTTTGGTAAGTTTTTCTTTTGATAACACTTAGTCAAAACAAAGTGAGACTGCAGGCAGTCATCAGAACTCACTCCACAGTTTGCTCCACTGCCTTTGGAAGTTTACATTTACACGTCCAGCAAGTTCAGTGGAACTGGGTTAGACCACACATGCTCCCTTGGAGGAGAGTCTCTGGATAATTTTTGAGCTTTTGAGCTGAAAGCTTTTGGGAAGGGTGACAAGTATTTGAGCCAGTGGTCAAAAACCATATGGCTTTGCATAAAACTGATAGGGCTGTAGGGACCAAATATTTCCCACTCTGAAATTCATATCTTGATTTTACTTTTATGTTAATTTTTGGCAGAACTCTTAAATCCCAGAAATAGAGTATCTATCATCAATACCTTTATTTTTTATTTTTTTTTCCTGAAAATACAAATATTCCCATTAGGATTACAAAATTGGTCTGTGATTAAATGAATCTTGACTTCAGATCATTCCCTTTCCAGAAAAAAAACCCAAAACCAAACCCCACTAGCTTGATTTTAAATATCAAAGGTATCCCCACTAATACTCAAAACAAGAAAGGGCACACTGCATTCCACCTGCATTCAAGGGTGCTTTGGGATGTTTCCATGCCCCTTCTTTGGTGCAGCTTTAGATACATGTGAAGTCTTTTGTTGCACAGCATGCTTTGCTGAATAAGGATGTGATTGCTCATGCTGCTTTGTTCAAGAAGAGTGCTTCTCTGAAAGAGGACCTAATTCTCTGCTGATTCTGAATGGAGACCTCTCATTTGTCTTGAGGAAAAAAAGACAACAGTGCCGTATCAGGTCAAGAGATGAGGCACATGACTTTCTTGAACAGTCTGTGATGTGACACAGCTGGAATGTACCTGCCTTTACACTTGGAGATCTCAAGCTGAAGGTGCAGAAGGGCAGGCTTAAGATGCTCATCTTATGATCATATGAAATGGCAGATGCTCTGCCATTTGAGGAGGTTCCACTTGTGGGGGCAGAGGACATGGAATGAGCTGGGGGTGTACAGGGTACACACATCGCTGTGTACGTATTACCATGGTACCTCTATGAATTTCTTTCTAATGTCTAATCTACATCTCTGTCAGCTTGAAGTCATTCCCCCTTGGCCTTGTCTCAAGCCCCTCTCCAGGTTTCCTGCATCCCCTTTAGGCACTGGAGCTGCTCTAAGGTCTCCCCTTCAGGAGCCTTCTCTTCTCCAGGCTGCCCCAGCCCAGCTCTCTCAGCCTGGCGCCAGAGCAGAGCTGCTCCAGCCCTCGCAGCATCCCCATGGCCTCCTCTGGACTCGCTCCAACAGCTCCACGCCCCTCTTGTGTTTACTATTTAAAGCCAACGCGCACAACCGGGTGACTGTCCTGGGGTCCCCTGGAGGCTCAGGGGGCGGCTAACATCCGGAAGCCCCAGCACGGAGCTAGAGGCGGCCCGAAGCAGGCGGCCGCCGCACTGGGTGTGCCCTGCCCGGGGCAGGGTGGTGCCGCGGCCTACTTCAGGCTCTCGGAGCCGCGGCGGCCGTGCTCGGCCCCGGAACTGCCGTTCCTGAGCCGCGGGGCCCCGGCGGACCCCGGCGCACGGACCGGGGGCACAGCCGAGGCGGCGCTTCCTGCGCGGCGGCCCTGGGTAGGGCCGAGGTGCTCTCGGCTACAGTCTGCCCCCGCCGGGCCCGGCGCTCCCCGGCTTCGCCATGCAGCGCTTTACGGTCAACATCAAGCTGCCGGCGCGGACCCTGACGGGCGCCCTCAGCCCGCCGAACAGGGGCGCGGCGGACTGGTGAGGGTCCGGGCCCTGGGCGGGCTCGGGACGGGAGAGGGATGGCTGGGGTGTCCCGAGCCGCCCCGCGGCTCGCTCGCCTCAGCAGCTGCTGGGCTCCGCTCTCCGGTGCCTGCCTGGCTCTGGCTCTGCCTATTCCCGCTGCCCGGCAGCGGCGGGTCGCGCTTTGAATGTGCCGTTCGTGCAGCCGCAGGTCCGGAGGCTCAGCCTACGGCGGGGGCTGTGGCTGGTGGCCAGCTCTGGAGCAAGAGCAAAGCCGTGGCCGTGGATGAGCATCGGCCGGTCCCTTCTGCCAGCGACACTTGTTTCCTGGGCAGAGGGCTTGGTGGTGCAACGACCTGCAGAGATCAGAGCAGCTGCTTCTGGTTTCTGTTCCTGTTATTTGTGAGGCTTGATGTAAAGCCTGTACATATATTGGTTTATGCATTCATTGCTCTGAACAGTGAGTTCACCTAGCTGGCCATTATCCTAGTACTCCTGAGTCTTTAAGGAGAGAAAATGATTCTATCATTCTATAAAATGAATGAGCTGAACCAAGTGATTTTTAAAACCTGCTTCCTTTAGGTTTGTCTGCATTGCTTGTGAACATTGAAGGCTCTGAAGTGCTTAGTTTGAACTTGTTTTTCACTTTTGACGGTTCCCACTTGGTTGCTCTTTGCTGTAGCTGTATAATTGCCATTGGTGACCTAAGTAACCTCTCCTGAAGTCGGACGGGCCTCAGCAGATTTCCACTGTTACTGTAATCATTGTTTGCATGCTCCCTTTTTTCTCTTTAAGAAAAAATAAATATACAATTAATTATATAATTGCAAATATATTGCTTACCTACATGTTTATAAAATCTGGAAATGCACTTCATGACTTTATACGTCATGTCTTAAATGTACACAGAGGTTTATTGTAGATGGACACAAAGAGATGCTTTGTAGTGGGTTAGGGGTCCATCAGCAGACAGTGAACAGTGTAGCTATGTCATTTTATAGTGCTTTTCAGTTTTATGTTATTAAAGAATTGTTACTGTTTGATGTTTTGTGTCTAGTAGCATGCATTCAATTTACAAAACAAGGAAAAACGCCTCATTCTTGTTGTGAAGTGATTTTTGTTCTTTGCTTGTTTGATGCTGATATGTGCTTTTCTAGGGGCTGGCAAGGTTTGATTGCATATGGATGTCATTCTCTTGTGCTGGTAGTTGATGCCAATACCGCTCAGACTTTACAGGTTTTGGAAAGACACAAAGCTAGTGTTGTCAAGGTGAGATGTATGTGTTTTAAGGTATATTACTTGATTCTGGTGTATCTGTTATCTTTCCAAATCAGCGCAAATGCTTGATATCATATTGCACTTATTTTCACATAAAATTTGGTGTAAATTACCTGTATTTTGCATGGTTTATTTTACAGCTAAATCAAACCATACATGCTGAAATTTGAGCTGAGGTTGGCAATATATATTTATAGAAGGTGTAGAATATATAGAAACATTTTGTGGTGTTATAGAACACAAATGCTTCTAAGAAAGCTCTTAACATGGCGAAAATTCAAAGGAACATTGCAAAATATCAGGTGAATATCTTTGCAGATGTCTTTGCAGATCTTTCATGCTGCGGTAACCATTTGACTGGGAAGTTATTTTAAAGTTTTTATGTCTTTTTTTTCACTGTGTTTTAACTGTTCTTACCTATAGAAAAGGAACATTAGTAGACAAAACCAAATGTATGCCAAGTGTAGGGTAATTGTATTTTCCATTGAAGGTCCATGACTTGAAATTGCAAAGTTGGACTTGTGGTCAAGTGTAGAATAGGGTGTGTGTCTTTGATACATCATTTGAGTGTGAAGAATGGCAGATTCAGTCAAGGTTTAGAGGACTGCTTGACTGGCAGATGTAATGCTAGATAGTCCATGGCCCAAATGCTATATTAGAAAGCAGGCAGTAATTTAAGAGGAAAAATAGATTTTTAGACAGGGCTGTTTTGGTTGGTTTTGTAGTAAAAATTTGAACGTGCCTTCTGGAAATTGCACACTATTTTTTTCCCATATGTGATTTCCTTTAAATGGACCATGTTTGTATAGATACACTAATAGAGCAGATATGGCAGCTCTAGTATTTTAAAATTAAACACACCTATATTTTATTGGGGTTTGATAATGTATTGCATTGTGAGCCATCATGTTCTGATGATGACTTGTTCACTGAAGAGCTTCAGCTTTTTTGTGGGGTGATTTTGAAGTTGCAGTATATTCAGCAGTTACACAGCCGGTGGTGTTTATGTACTTCTATGTAGTATAATATATTTCTGTGTTACAGAGTCGAGCTAAAGTGTGTGCTTTTATAATAGTAAGTAAAGTGTTCAAATCCTGAAAGAAGATGTTGGGTACAGCAAAACTGCTTCAGATCCATTCATGATTTTGGCCAAGAGCCATACACATAATGAGATTGTAGCTTTAAAAATGGCTGTAAAGTTCAGGAATTAGTTTTGCTTGATTAGAGGGAATTTTGAAACTGACTGGCAAAAAAGGAAAGTAGAAGTTTTTAACAGGTTAGGTTTCAAAATAGATACTTTATGTTGTTTTTTGAGACTGGTGTACTGTGACATGTTTAAAAATGATACTAAAATGTCACAAAAGACTGAAAACTCTTTTCCTCCAGCATATCTATATATGTGCCCAAATCTTTCTGGGAGGTTTGAGGATTCTCAGGTTTGCCTGAACATCACTTTCAACTGAGAGCTTGTGCCACTCTTAGGAATAGTGTCTGTGGTGACAAATGTTAGGCAACTTGTCTGACTCACAGTAAGGAGAGGTTATTTCTCTTGTTATCTCAGAGCAAAGGTGTGTACACGACAGCAACCACAGAGTCAGCATCACTCTAAATCAATACCTTTGCTTGCCTTTTAGCAGCTTGTTTGGGGAAGCATACCCTTAGACTCTGTTGTCTTCAAGCTGCCTTTTAAAGTGAATAAATCAATTCCAGTGTCTGTAGTTGTGTAAAAGAAATAGAAAATGTGTTATGGAGGTGGCAGCTGTAATGATGACTCTGCTTTGAAATTTTCACTTAGCTTAAATAACAAGTTGCAGCAAAATTAGGTTTTGATCCATGTAGTGATAGCATTTTAATGTGCTTCAGTTACATTCATTAGCTTTGAGCAATAACATCATCTCAGTAGGAAACCAAATGCTAAAGTCCAAATAGTTTTTATATAACTTATAAGATAGATTTTCAAAGCCACTATCTGATACTTTATTAACAGAAAGAGACTGTAAGAAGATGACTAATTTATGGGAAAGAATGAAAGAATCTATGGTACTTTAAGAAATAGGCGTTATGTGAGAAAACATGAGGCCATGACCATTGCAGAGCCCAGATATTTCTGGGGAATTTTCCTCAATTCCTAACTTTTTTTTTTCCTAAAGAGTTTGTAAATGCTAAAAGCATAAATAAGCTGAAGGGGATCTCTAAGAAGTCTGTTGTATATCTGAATTAAACTCTTTGTGGTAGAGATTCACACCTACAAAGTCTGGCTACATGACATCTTGCCAAAACCCGATGCTTCAGTTGTGAAAATACCAAACCACACCACTCTTTGCAATAAAAAAGCAATTGTTTCACAATCCTTCTGCAGCCCATTTAAGTATTTTTCTTTAAATATTTCCTGGCCTTTGGCTGTCATAGCTGTGTCTGGAATAGTTAATAGTTTCACTGAAAATTGTTCCATATTAGGTATCTCTCTGCTCTTAAGGTGTTACTGATGACTTCTCATGGAGTAGATTATATCAGATTTTTTTGTACTTGAGAGAGTGCTTTTACAAAAGAAAAATTAATTACAGAAGGAATTTTTTGAGCTAGAACAAGAAATGAGAGGATTGAAATTGTGTTTGATAGGGATAATAGGGCTTCATAAATTAGGTGTGAAAATTAAACAGGAACCAGAGATTACTTTTTTAATGTCCAGTGCTGCAGTAGTTTGAAGTCAGGGTCAGCAGGCAGTGACCAATACAACATGAAAATAATTTCTTGTAGCAGACACTCAGGCAGTGTGTGGGGACTTCATTGAAGCAGTGCTACTGAAATGAGAAAAGAGGGTTTACAACGCGGGTGTGCCACATGAGCTCTGAGACTGATTGTGCGAAGATCTCCTTTGTGTTATTCAGAACTTCAGGTGACAGCTTCTCCCGTGGGAAATTCTGTTTTCCAGGCTTGGAAATTGCTTCTAACTAATATATATTTAACTCGGGAATAAATAGCTTTGTCGGTTCTACAATTACTTTTTTTAGTAGCTACATGCAGGTAGCCTCATGGGTAATTTTTGTTGAACAGCAGGGAAGCAGGAATTGCAAAGCTGAAATTTGCAGGTAGAGGACAGTCTCCCAAGATTTTTTTTGTTATTCTGATAGAAACATGCTTTGGGTTTATAGCCGGAGCTCTCTGAAGAGTGCTGCTTGTGCATGTGTAATGTTTGTTTAACTTACTCAGCTAGGCATTTGAGATCCATCCTGGTCACACCTCTGAGAAGGGATAGCACAGAGGTGGCTGCAGTGCTCTGAATACTTGTACAAACCTAATTTATGTTGCAAAGGTAGTGGTGCCTAATGATAACTCTGTTTCCATGGTTTTAATGCCATGCTTTCAGTATCTGCAAAAAGCCTTGTGTTTGCCGTCACCCTTTCTCTGTCAGGTACTGTGACAGCACACACCTAGCTAACTACAGTGTCATTTTTGTAGTAAATAAATTCCTATTAGCTTAGCATTTATGTTTCTTTATTCTGTCAGTGTCTTCAGTCCCTCTTACGGATGGAAGTTCACCTTATACCAGGTAGCAAAACAAATCCATATTGAATAGATAGGGAAGAACTCAGTGTTCTCTCTCTATAATCTTGGGAGACTCATAGACAGAATGTTTCAAGTTGCAAGACACGTAGTTTTTGTAAGTATTGCCAACTTGCAAGCCCCTGCAGCTTGAAATCCCAAACCAGAAAGTGGTATGTGGAAGAAGTCAGAGGTGGAAACATGGCGAAAAGGACCAAAAAGATAGCAAGTATCAGCAATAGCTTGACATGGGACAATGCATAGATGAAAGGCTAACCTCCCTTCCTCCCCTGTACTGTAATATATTTGGCAGATTAGGAAAATGGCACATTTTAGGATGTATATAAAAGTTAGATGGTAAGTTTTCAACTGTAATTTGTTTGGAAATCAGTGGGTTTGTAATTTTGGGAAAATTTATGGATGCCCACAGAACCTTAAATATTGCCATTTAGTTTCTTATCTATGTTAAACTTTTTATATACATAGCATATATTTATGGATTGTTGTAGATAACATCAGGACTAAAGATTATAGATTTGTGTAATATCAACCTTGCAGTCATGCCGCACAGTTGTGATGCACCTTAAATTTGCACAACTGATGGTAGCTTAATGGTATTCTTATTGGCATAAAGATGCTATTAATGTTAACTATTACTGTTTTTTGATTGAGTTTATGATTTGTTTATCCATCTGAAGAATATATAGTATGCTGTCTTGTTATACGGTTGCCTCCTTTGACCAATTTTTATCTGTATCTTTAGGTTAAATGGGCTAAAGAAAATTACCATCACAATATCGGCTCTCCATATTCTTTACGTTTAGCTTCTGCTGATGTTACTGGAAAAATAATTGTATGGGATGTGGCAACAGGAACAGCTCGTTGTGAAATACAAGAACATGCAAAACCAATTCAAGGTAACGATAATGCATGATGTTTGTGTAGACGTTACTTTATGGAGCATCTGGTATGAATCAGTCACCTAGGTTTTGTAAACTATGCTCGCTTCTGCCATTGAATTTTATTGTTGAGATTACTGGCCTTCTGTGTGTTTGCTTACTCGTGTAGATGTAAGATTTACAGTCTCCCAGAAGGATGCTCTGAGATTGAATTAGCTGTAGTAATACTTTCCAAGATCTGACAAGAAGTTAGAATCTATTTTTATCTATGTTATTGATTGAAATAATCATATTTACAGTGTCAGGTACATCTTTCTGCTTTTGAATAGGGATGTAGTGCAGTTTGCATCGCACCTGATTGTTAATGCCACCTGTAGTGGTGCAGTATTTTAAGAGTATTACATTGCTGCAAGTTAAGAGTTTTGATTATGCGCGTATACTTTGACGACTTTTTAGCTAGGTCATTATATAGCTACTTTTGATCAAATATACTAGTATGATAACATACATTTTCAGTATTACTAGGGAAAGAACAGGTTTTTGAGTGTCTGTGCAGTTGTCAGATTCATAGCAGCAGGGAGGCTTTTCTATGCATAACAATATTAAGATGTGAAAAGTGAAATGGAGAAAGAATGAGATACTGTGGAATGTTTAGATCAGAAGAGAGTTGTAAATAAGATAGGTTTTGCATCATGTTGGAGTTGGTAGTATGCAGTCTCCAAACTGAGTATGACAAATTTGAATTAGGTTTCAAGCGTAGGCAAATGATAGCCCAGTGCAGTGAAAAATACCCAGTAAACTCTACCCAAACTGTTCTGGGCAGTTGGATTCTTGAAGATTCTTTATCCTGTGACCAGAAAAAAAAAAAAACCAAAAAAGCTGTGATCTCATTCAGGAATTTCAGAAGTCTCTGGGGAAAGTAAAAAACAAAAGCAAACCCCCAAAACAATCCCACAAAAAACACCAAGCCAACAAAAAAGCCTGGAGAAAACAGCTATGCATTTATGATGATGTAAGCTTTAGAAGATTTATGTTTTCTTGTGCTCAAGGCAGGAATGTCTAGAAGCCTGGCATAGAGGTCAGTACTATCTTAATTGGTCTGATGAAGGACAGAGGGCAGAAAATGTAGCCACTGGCCATGTCTAACACGATTAAGATAATATATTGGAAGGGAATAATTGTCTTTGTCAGCCATCAAATGCTCCCTTTCATTAGTTAGCATCTTGTGCTGCATCAATGAAAAAGTGGAGGTAATGGTTAGAACTCAGAAAGGGGAATCAAAATATCTAGACTTCATTCCTTGGTGCATCAACAGTCAATATAATTTTTACTTCTGCTTTAATAGATAGGTGCAATTTGTAGTTGATAGTAGTACTCTCCTACTATTGTACAGCTCAGGGTTTTGGTTCTAATTACAGTATCACAGTATGTTAGAGATTGGAAGGGACCTCAAAAGATCATCTAGTCCAGTCCCCCTGCCGGAGCAGGAACACCTAGATAAGGTTACACAGGAACGTGTCCAGGCGGGTTTTGAATGTCTCCAAAGAAGGAGATTCCACAACCTCCCTGGGCAGCCTGTTCCAGTGTTCCGTCACCCTCACTGAGAAGTTTCTTCTCAGGTTTAAGTGGAACCTCTTGTGCTCCAATTTGTACCCATTACCCCTTGTCCTTTCATTGTTTGCCACTGAGAAGAGCCTGGCTCCATCCTCGTGACACTCCCCCTTTATATATTTATATACACTAATAAGGTCACCCCTTAATCTCCTCTTCTCCAAACTATAGAGACCCAGCTCCCTCAGTCTTTCCTCATAAGGGAGATGCTCCACTCCCTTAATCATCTTAGTTGCCCTGCGCTGGACTCTCTCCAGCAGGTCCCTGTCCTTCTTAAACTGAGGGGCCCAGAACTGGACACAATATTCCAGATGAGGTCTCACCAGGGCAGAGTAGAGGGGAAGGAGGACCTCTCTCGACCTACTAACCACCCCCCTTCTAATACAACCCAGGATGCCATTGGCCTTCTTGGCCACAAGGGCACAGTGTCGGCTCATGGTCACCCTGTCGTCCACCAGGACCCCCAGGTCCCTCTCCCCTACACTGCTCTCTAACAGGTCGTTCCCCAGCCTATACTGGAACCTGGGGTTGTTCCTGCCCAGATGCAGGACTCTACACTTTCCCTTGTTATATTTCATCAAGTTATTCCCCGCCCAGCTCTCCAGCCTGTCCAGGTCCCTCTGGATGGCAGCACAAATTACTTGCGGTAGACACTTTTTGGTCTATTGGAATGACTCAGAATAGAGCTGACCAGGAGCTGGCTGGAGCACTGGAACCTGATTAGCTTTGTGGCTGTGCTGCTCTGGCTGGTTTGCTTCTAGTACCTGGGCTGGTGCTGCCAGTGGACCACTTCCAGCATTGAACTGGCTCATTCAGCATGAGCTGGGAGGGATAACTCTGGAATTACAGCAACAGCTATGTGCTCTGCTGCATGTTCTGCATTTCTGTTTATTGCTGCTGCTGTCCATGCTAGTACTATGTCTGCAAATTATTTCTGAAGTGAAATTTAGAGCAATTCCTCCCCCCCAAGAAACTGCCATAATGAGTTTCTAAGGATAATTCACAGTTTATTTGGACTGTTTTAAAAAACCTGTGTTTTATTTTGAATTCTTATATATGAAAGCTCTCTTATGAAACCAGGTTGTTTGGTTTTTGTTACTGTTCTATTTTAACAAATCATGTGAAGGTAGATACAATATTGTAAGTCTGATAGTGGGACACTGAATAATTATTCTGTTGACTGCAGTTAATTTCATTAGGTTGATTTCTTTTTCTGTGTGTTATAAGTTGCATTTTATTTACTCCTGACACCAAATCACTGAATGTTTGGTGGAGTTTTGACTGTGTAGTTTGCAGATTTCTCCATGTTTTCAGACCCAATGAAGTCTTTCCAGTCTGTTGGGTGAGAAACAAAGTTAATAAGCAGCAGAATTAAAATTCTGTTGTCCTCAGTCCCTAATTTGATTAAGCAATAAGCTCAGACAAAAGCTTCTTTTCCTTTCCATCTGTTTCTGAGGCCTCTGGCTTTGTATGAGTCTGTCGAAAATGGTTCAAATAGAGACTGAGCACCAGAGTGATCTGCTGGTTCTCTGTGTTACTTGCAACAGCTTAGTAGGATAACAGCTGGAGCCTTGCTGTTTTCGTAAGAGTGGTGCATCAGTGTAAGACACTCTTCTTTATTTGATGCAAACTCTGCACTTAGATGAGAAGGAGTTAACCTTTTGTTAACTTGCACTGTAACTGATGAGGACACACATGGCTAGATTTATTTATTTTCCTCTGAAAAGCACTTAGCAGTGCTCCGAAAAAGCGGAATTGATAGAAAAAGAGCTGAGGAAGGAAGGGTTTTTTTGTGACATCTTGATATAAAGGAACATGCTGTGGAGAAGTTGTGTCTTGGTGAGGTCATGCTGTGAGTGGTAGGAGCTGGACTGTCTGCCCAACCCAGTCTGTTGTCTAAAACACCGCCCCATGGAGCATGTAGGTAGCTCTAATACAGCTCCTTTCAAGTAAGTTAGGCATCTCTGTCTTCTTATTGATAGAAAACATAGTGTTTTATATCCATTTACTTTGACTGTTTAAATGATGATTGGCAAGCATATCTCTTCAGACTAATCCAGCATTTAAGAACCATACTCATCTTCTTGATTATGTGTTAGTTGCATTTCACTCTTGAACTTCAGACTCTCTGTTTTAAAAGTATCTGAAGTGGAGAAGACATCTGTTTCCAGGTCCAGTACTGATACAATCGCAAGTATTAATTGGGATGGTGTTATGGTTCATGGTGTCATCCCAAGTATTAATTGAGATGGTGTGTAGTTCTCTTCATTCTGACTCTTCAGTGATTCCATTGTGTGTATGTACAGTATGGTATGTTGTTTCATATAGAAATTCACTGTCCAAAAAAAATCTGAATTCTTTAAATAGGCTGTGGATTGTGTACATGTGTAACCCTGTTTATTGCTGCTTGTTAAAAACATATATTCAGGACATAAAAGGAACTTTATTTTTACAACTGTGAAATAGAAGCATCTTGTTACTAATAAATCACTGTTAATTTCTTGAACAACAAGGTACTGTAGAAGAAGAGTAGTTTTAAAATAGAACTTTTATTGGAAATTCATTTCACTGTTGTTCCTTGTGTCTTTTGGCAGATATGCAGTGGTTGTGGAATCAGGATGCATCCAGAGATTTACTGCTTGCAGTTCATCCACCAAACTATATTGTACTGTGGAATGCAGACACAGGCACCAAACTCTGGAAGAAAAGTTATGCTGAAAATATCCTGTCTTTTTCATTTGACCCCTTTGATCCATCGCATTTGGCTTGTAAGTTTATATGTATAAAATAGAGTGACTTGAATATGTGTGACCAGGAAAAATGTTAAGCTAAAATGCTAAGATTGAGATTAAAAATAATAAATTGGAGAGGATGAAGTCATAAATGGCAAGAAGTCTCAAAACAAAGATGGGAAATTTTGGCCAGTGTGGAATCTTCTAAAATGAGATGCTGTTTTGTGAGGGAAGAGCACAAGTAGTCATCAGTAGAGAAGTTAAAGATTGAAAAGAAATGTTTGAGACTATAGGAAAGAAGGTGTAAAGGGTGTAGACAGGGAGCTGGAGGAAGCCAGATAGAGACAGTCCCATTATACTGGCATACAAAACTATAAAAGAATGGATGCTGAGTGAGCTGAGTAGACCAAGAATAAATGTTGCTTTCAACAGAAAGAACTTTCTTTTTTTCTTAAGGAATACAGTGTGAGCATCAGTTTCAGAAGCAGTTCAGATGTCAAGGGAGATGTAGTGCACATTTATTCAAATTTTAGCAGAAAGAAACTAAGAGAAATAAGAGTCACTGTTTTAATCTTTAATTTAGCTTCCACACTCATGATCTGTAATGAAACTGCCGTTTTCAGGCTTTGTAGTTGTATTGGTTTATATCTGCTGTACCACTCAACCTTCCATAAACATGTGGCTACATCTTTACAGCTTAGCTGAATCTTTATACTGTAGCATAAATAATGTGATTCTTTGAACACGCTCTGCTCGAGAACACAAAATGATGACAGAGCTAACATGGGCAGATGACAGAGGTAACTTCTGTTTGCATTGTGAAGCTTAAAGAAAAATAGTTGATGAGAGTGAATAATTGTTCCAAACAACCAAGAGGTTTGTGCTAGTAAGACCCATGGTATTTTTTTTAGTGTAGACTTAATATTGAAAAGTTGGGATTTATGGATATTAATTCTAATGGACCATTTGCTGCTCTTTTGAGTAGAAAGTTCCAGTCGTCTAGAATTCTGAGTTTTCTACCTAATACAGTATTATTAAGCTATTAACATTTCTCCCCACCAAAATTTCATTAAAATGGAAACCCATAATCAAATTGGAGATTGCATTTTGCTATATTGAGAATTGTTTTTCTTGGTACAGTGCTCACCAGCGAAGGAATAGTCTTCATCTCTGACTTCTCACCTTCCAAAGCTCCTGCCAGCTCAGGGAAGAAAGTTTACATCTCTAGTCCCCATTCCAGTCCTTCTCACAAGCTGGCTGCTGCTACAGGGGCCAAAAAGGCCCTCGATAAAGTAAAAATCTTAATCAGTAATGAAAAACCAAGGTAGGTTGCAAGTATTTCTCCTCAGATAATGTATTGTATGCCTGTATATTTTATAGCTATTACTAAATTAAAGCCTGTAAGGTAAATAGTTTAAAAAAGAGAATTTTGGGGGGGGCTAGGCTGATAAATGGATATCCTAGATGATGAATTATTTAAGAATACAACATTGACAGTCATTCATCCAGTTCTGTTGTAAAACCAGCCATATCATCCCAGCATGTTTTATATAAGTTAATGTTCTGTCTTTGCTAACACATTTTCATGCATTATAGATTCAGAAAGATCTTTCTTACAGGGGGAAAAAAGGATGAAAATGGGCTCATAGAATTTATTTCAACTGTGGAATGTGAAGGGGTGTAGTGACAGAGTAAAAATTATGAAAGTATTGATACCTGGGAAAAGTTGTCATTCTGGTGTTGTACATGGTAGTGCAGTAGGAGGCAATAGATTGGATATAAGGAGGAAGTTAGTTCTTCACTGTAAGGGTGGTGAGGCACTGGAATGGGTTGCCCAGGGAAGTTGTGAATGCTCCATCCCTGGCAGCGTTCAAGGCCAGGTTGGACAGAGCCTTGGGTGCCATGGTTTAGTGTGAGGTGTCCCTGCCCATGGCAGGGGGGTTGGAACTGGGTGATCTTAAGGTCCTTTCCAACCCTAACTATTCTATGATTCTATGATTCTATAATAGTGTTTATTTTCTTGTTAGAACTTCTCTAGGCCACACCTGTGTGGTGTAACCTTTTTTCCTTTTGTATTTTATATTTGAATAATAAAAGTATTTCTCTAACCTCAAGTAAATGTGAGAACAAACTAACCAGACTGTAGTATCAGTTAGCATCTGACAACTAAATTTGCACTCTGCTTTAATAAGGTGTTTAAATTGCAAACTTGGGAGATGATGATACCCCCTCTAGTCATTATTTAAGAAACTGTGATTTTTATATAGTGTTAATAGGCATGATCTTGTCGTACTGTGTTCCATAATGCCTGATTTGCACTACATTGGGCAGACCACCTGATTTGCAGATACTGAAACAGCATATATGCTGCTGCAGTCCTATGTACACTATGTAATAACAGTAAATTGACAGAGATGCTGTTTTTGCATTCTCCTCATTGCAAATTTAAGTTGTGTAAAAATATTGCCAAAGGTATGATAATCTTTTTTTCCCTTCTTTTCTATCTGGAACACCTGAAAAGACTAGAATGGGGAAAAAGGGAAGAAAAATTGTAGCAGCAGTGATTTATATGAGTTTAGATAAACTTTGAGGAAACAGAAGATTGTTAGGAAAGTGATTGGAGACAAAAGGGGATTCAGATGCCTGAAGCGAGGACTGAGATGCAAGAAGTGTGTAAGGCAGGCTTAGTCTGTGTTGGAAGATGAGATTAAAACCAAGCACAGCCTCTCAAAAGGGATGATATTAAATGAGTTCAGAAGCTTTGAAAACTGTACACAGTATGCGGATGATTTTCTTCAGTGTGGCTTAAGTACAGCTCACTGGTAGCATGTACCTAATGAATCTTGCAGCCAGTTTTCTGTTAACATAACGGTGAACTTTTCTGCTCTTTTGCTGCTTCCTCTGAGTTTTGAAGACTGTTATTTTTAATAGAATATTCAGTTCATTTCAAAACAAAACTTTTAAATACTGTACATACACAGTAAATACTGTTCTAGTATTTAAAGGGTGGTTACAAAGATGGAGACTCTTTTTGCAATGAGTCGCATGGAAAAGAGGTATAATGGGCACAAGTTACTGCTGGGAGATTCCAGCTGGACACAAGAGGAGAATTTTTCACGATGAGAATAACCAGCCATTGGAATAATCTCCCCAGGAAAGTGGTGGACTCCCCAGTGTTACATACTGTTAAGATTTGTCTGGGACATTTAGTCCAGGTCATGCTTTGCCTAGAAAGTTGAGCCAGATGATCCCTGAGGTCCCTTCCAACCTGCAGTTCTGTGATTCTGATATGCATAATAATATAAAAGTTGAAGTATACAGTATGTTTAAGGGTAATTTCCCATGAATATCAGTAAATGTCATGGCAGCTGGCACTGTTCATAACTGAATTGCTCTCTGACATGTGCGGGAGTTTGAGATTGTTCCATTTGAATCACATACTATTTTAAAAATTACTCTATAATCTTATTTAGACAAAAGTCTCTTGACAGTGTCTTGTCTTTTGAAGGTCAGTGATGCTTTGCACTGCTGTAGCAGTTACACACAAATATGCACTTGCCTACTGATGGAAATAGGGAATACTCCAAAAAATGTACCTGCAAGAAAATGTATACTGTTAATTTTATTTTGAACTTGAAGTATTTATTGACACGACTTGATTAAATTTTATATCTGATGTTTTCCAGTGCTGAATCTGTAACACTTAATGACTGTCTTCAGTTGTCGTATCTGCCTTCCAAAAGAAACTACATGCTGTTATTGTATCCCAGAGAAATTCTGATTCTTGACTTGGAGGTGAATCAGACAGTGGGTGTGATTGCAATTGAAAGAACAGGAGTGCCTTTCTTACAGGTAATGAAAATTTGGTTGGTTTCTGCCATTGTAAAAGTTTATTAAGATCATATGTAAGTTTGTGATTTATTTAGAAGTTAGCTGATAGGGGAAAAAATGTTCTTGGAACTGTTTAGTTTTCTGATGTCTGCAGCAAACCTGCTTCATTTTGTGGTGTTAAAAGTTACCAGTGTGGAAACACTGCTGTGGAAAAAGGACTTTTCATTCTCTGGTGATTAAGCTTCTTACATGCAAATACTAGTTCTCTGATCATCTGCCTTTGCTTAGTTAGACAGGTATGTCTAGTCTGAGGTCTTATTGAAGCATTTTCATTCTTTCGGAGTCATGAATTCTGATACTAAAAAGTGATAGCTAAAAAGAATATGTATGAGTGCATCATTGTTTAAAGAAAACAAAACCCCAAACCAGCAAGCAATTAAAACAAAACCTTTCAATAAATTTCTCAAATTAGTTGACTTTCTTAGTCACAAGTACTATAGCTAAAGAAATTCCTTGAAGTGATGCTTTAATGGTAACATTTTTAGTGACTTCCTAATACATCAAGAATTGCATGTTCATTTGCAAGTGTACTTTGCAAAGGATAAAACATTGATACCATGATATAATGTACTATCTCTTTACCTAGGTAATTCCTTGCTTTCAGCGTGATGGGTTATTTTGCTTACATGAAAATGGTTGTATAACTTTAAGAGTTCGCAGATCTAACTGCAGTATAACTGGAACTCCAAATGAAGAGCCAGGTAACTTTTGTGTCAAAAATGTCCAGAAATGAACTTTGAGGCATTCTGTTTAATACTTTAACACCAGTGTTTGCCATCATGCCTCGTACAGAATAGTGAATTACAGCCCTTCTAGTGTTCTTGACTTTTCTGACATTTAGTGCACAATATGCAATACTAATATCCTGAAAATAAATACTTTATTTATGAAGTGGCATAAGAGTCACATATACAAGAAAGTTTTACATAAAAGATGGTTAGTATGTTCATTTTCTCTTTAAGAAAGAGCATTTTTCAGGCAAACACAAGGCTTTAGAAGTCATTTTCTCAATTGAAAGAACCGGTTATAGAACTGAGACATAAGAATATATTTAGATTAAATTATTAAACCTTTGTCTCTTTTATGAAATCTTACTAAGAGTGACCTTTTAAATATAATGGAGGAGACTGGAGAAAAGAAAGGAAAATACATTTCTGTAAATGTAAATATAATTTTGTTATAGTTTGTTTGGTTTATTTTGGTTTATTTTGGTTTTAGGCTGTTTGGCAATTTCTAGTGAGCTACATTACTTACTTCCAGGTTTACCAGTAAATCAAATTATTTACTTTCCTTTGGATTGTGGAGAGCAGATGTGCTTTTTACCCAGATATCAAACAGCAATTTTCACGAGATTTGTGTGGAATAAGGTATTTTCATTACAAAGTTACATTTTAGAGAACTCAGAGCTGTGTTGTGTACAGCAAGATGAGCAGTGTGTAGTTTTTGATTGTTTTTCCTGACTGTTGCACAGGGAGCATGTGGATTTCAACCAAATAGCTCAGTCATGCTGCACATTTACCTCTGTTGATTGATCATATCCTGTGTTTTCCACTCTAATTGTTTGTCCTCTGTGGGACATTGATGTTACAGATCCAGACCCAGTTCAGGAGCTGATTTATGATTTAAGAAGTCAGTGTGATGCAATCAGGGTAACAAAAACAGTTCGACCCTTCAGTATGGTGTGTTGCCCAGTGAATGAGAATTCTGCAGCTCTCATAGTCAGTGATGGCAGGGTAATGATCTGGGAATTAAAATCCAGTATTGCTGGCAGAAATGTGCGTAACAGGTAATGGGATTTATTTTTCTTATCAAACCTTCCATCTGTTACATTTGCAATATTTAAATTCTAAAAACAAGTAATTTCCTTGTGTAGCAACATGCACATAAATGAAAGGAAAAGGAAGAAAATGCATCATCCACATAGGTTAGATCCCTTGCTTTGGGACAGTGAAGGAACAGTATTTACTTTTCTTTCTTTAGAAAATTATTCCATACTAAGTGGTTGGAGTAAGGGAGATGAAAGAATGAATCTTCATTATTTTGGGGAAACATTTGGCTTTCTTCAGGCTATATAATTTTCCTCAGGAATGGATCCCTCACTTCCCAGTCACATGAAAGGGCTTCAAAATGAGTGTGGGAAGGACTACATTTTTAGTAAGGGAAAGGTGTGATTTGTGTGAAAGGCTAGATTTGTGTGAATTTGACACAGAGCAACATGAGGCACAACAGGTGGCTGGAATATGATGGTACAAACAATGTTTTTATATACAAAGCCTTCAGAATTTTAGATTTTGAGCAGTCTCAAAAACTGCTATATAAAGTGCTATGGTTCTTTTGAGCTTTCAGTGTATTAAGGTCATTTTGCTGCAAGAAACCCTTAAAGTACTGTAGAATAAAACAACTTATTACCATAAAAGAAATACAGAATTCTTAGAACACTTTTAAATGTCAGTAGTACCAGATTTTCAACATGGATTCTTTTGTTGCTCATAAGTGTTTAAATGTTTTTATTCTTGGTGTTCTCAAAAATGCTGTCAGATGAATTCTATATGATGCATATCCAAGAGAGCTGTTCAGGATCCATATGTTGCTGGGGTTTACTTATTGTATTATAGACTCATTTCTAAAACATTGATCTTTGTCATAATTATATAACCAGGAAAAATGTGCTGTTAATAATAATAGAAGAAGAACCACTGAGCCTAGAGGATTCTGGATATGGTTGCACTGTACTGAAAAGTAAAGCATGTTTCTGGCTGGCACAGAGTCTTTAATGGATTTTGAAGATGTCTTCCTCCATTAGCTCTTTACCCTGCTGGATTTGATGGTCTTAATTAAAATTTGAACTCAGTCTGTTTAAGTGAGATTTTTATGTACAGCTATGTGCAGTCAGTAGTCTTTGGTCTTTGCATATGGCATACACCTGCCATCAGCTCAGCAGGATATGATTGCTAAGGCTGCAAAGGGCACTTTGAGCCCCTTCTAGATGGAGGTTGCACTGGGACCTAGTGACAGTCACTGGGGCAAAATATAACACAAAACTCTGATGCATCGATACAAGACTAAATGCAGTTACTGAAGTTTCTGCTGTAGCTTTGTATACGCAGAAGCAATTGTGTTTCAGATGTTTAGGTGAAAGGCTTTGCTTCATTTATGGGTTTTGTCATCTGGAACTTATCTAAGGAGTTTATCTAGGTTAACAAAGAACCTTCCCCAAGTTTGGGAATTTGTTCTTAAATGTCGAAATATTTTATGGTCGGTGCTTAGCTGTATTCATTGACATAGCTCTACATATTAATGCACAATGTATTTTAAAGCCTCCATTCAATGCTTGCTTCAGAAGTGATACATCTGTGTGTTTTTCTGTTCCTTAAAAATATCTCTGTAAGGAAGATGAAAGTTGTTTTGAGTTTTATACATTTTTCTGTGCATTATGTCCTGGTAGAGTTGTTCATGGAAGTTGGAGGTGGGAATAATCTCAGAATATTCTGCATGTAAGAAGTGGCAGAAATACTGAAAGAACAGCCTGGGGTTAAAACAGAATTGAGGAACTAAGTCAACAGTCAATCCAGTTTGTATTAGGAACATGTTTTCATTTCTTTTACAGCAGTTCAAGTGCATCACCTTTGTATTCCCCAGTCTCGTTCTGTGGGATTCCTGTAGGAGCATTCCAAAATAAACTTCCAGACCTCTCATTAGACAGCATGATTGGTAAGAGTTTCTTTCACTAATATTATTGTTACTCATTTTTAGGATTTTTAATTCATTGTACATCTTAGCATACTGTCCTGGGTTCAGCAGTAGCAGTCATTTTTCTTAGTAGCTGGTGCAGTGCTGTGGTTTTGACTTTCAGCCTCAGAACAGCGCTGATAACACCAATGGTTTTAGTTGTTGCTCAGTAATGTTTACTCTGACCAAGGACATTCTGAGCCTCATGCTCTGCCAGGGAGGAGGAGAAGCCAGGAGGAACAGGGGCAGGACAGCTGACCCAAACTAACTAAAGAGGTATTCCATACTGCAGCACGTCATACACAGGATGTTAAACTGGGGGCAGTTACCCAGAAGGGCGAGTTTGCTGCCGGGGTCAGGCTGTGAATCAGTCGACGGGTGGTGAGCATATAACCCTTGTTATTTCCCTTATCATTATTATTATTGGTGGTAGCAGCAGTGATTTGTGTTATACCTTAGTTACTGACTGCTCTTATCTCAACTCCAATTCTTCTCCCCATCCCTCCGGGAGCCGGAGGAGGAAGGGGGGGAAGTGAGTGAGCAGCCTCGTGGTTCTGGGTTGCTGGCTCAAACCACGACACTTACTTAAGAACTGTATATGTCAGAATTATTTTGTGTGCAATCTAAATAGTAATTCAGAAAGAAAGTAATTCCGGATCTCTAATAAAATGATCAAATGAAGATTTTTCAGCAATTTATATTGAAGACCAATGTTCAAAGTACATGTTCTCTGAGGGGGGGAAAATGTAATTTTAAATGGAATTTGGCCAAAACTCTTTCATTTTTTGGAAGTAACCTTAAATGGATGAAGACAATTTATTTGATGCATCCCATTTTTGTGAAATCTAGATAGCAGCTAGCACTTCAATGTTGAGAAATGCTCTCTAAAGATGGCTGTGTTGTGAACCTGATTTTCAGTGGAAAAGTAAAATTGTGCTTGCAGTTACAAAGGTGCAGATTTGGAAATGCTCTTGGTAAGAGCTGTCCGTATTATCTGGTGCAGGCAGCATACCACTGGGGAGGTTCTTTTGCACTTTATCTCATAAGTTTAAAGATGACATTTTTTTGTCTTATGTGCATTTCCTGAATTCATTGACATAGCAGCTATTGTTATTTTGGTATTACATCACTCAGTCTGGTACAACTGACTGCAGAAGATATACAGCAGTGGGATTACATCATTTTCATACCCATATTAGAATCATAGAATAGTTTGGGTTGGAAAGGACCTTAAGGATCCAGTTCCAACCCCCCTGCCATGGACAGAGACACCTCACACTAAACCATCTCACCCAAGGCTCTGTCCAACCTGGCCTCAAACACTGCCAGGGATGGAGCATTCACAACGTCCCTGGGCAGCCCATTCCAGTGCCTCACCACCCTCCCAGGAAAGAACTTCTTCCTTATATCCAGTCTGAACTTCCCCTGTTTAATTAATTAATAATTTAATGTAATGAATTAATATTATTGTATCTGAGAAAACTCAGTATGCTTCTAGTCGTAGACTGCACTCAGTTTTTACTGTTTGGAGTTATATCTCCCTACATCTTTGAATTGGTCTAATAGTTTTCAAGTATTTGCAACTAACTTCCTTCTTAGTGTTAGGAAAGAAAGTATTAGAGAAATCAGCAGTGCAAGCTTCCAAAAAGTTCGATCATACAGAGTTTACCAGATAGGAATGCATCTTTAAATAAACACTGTTACACTGCTGGTTTATATGTTACATTATTTGTAAGATTTATTTTATAAACTCTCGTGTCTGATAACTTCCCATACCTTCTCCGATGAAAATTTAATACTAAGAAGAGCTTTAATTTTTAAGCAGGGCAAAGCACAATTGCTGGAGAAGAACAGTTAAAGAGTCCTTATCTGCAAGAAGTACACCTCAAATTTCTGCTGACTGGACTTCTGTCAGGACTGCCTCTGCCTCCCTTTGCTATCCGCATGTGCCCACCTCTTACAACAAAAAACATCAAACAGTATGAGCCAATCCTTGCTGTTGGTAAGCACCTTGTGTAGGTTATTTATTGCTCTAAAAAAAAGTTATTCTGTATTAAATACAAATATAGTTACTCATACATAAAAAAATAATATCTAGGTTTTGATCCTGTGTAACTAATGCTAGACAGTGACCTTTGTATTACTTTGCATCCATGATAGTTTTCAGATTCTTTTCTTCCTGCCTTGGGTTTAGGTAATGCTACCTGAAAAACTGCAATATGTTTGCAAGTTTGTGTTTATCCTTTCATTTATTATGATCTTGGTCTGTTGATGCACTTAACTTTTTGCACCCTACTGTCACCTTAATCTAAACATCAAGAGATACACACTTCTACCGCACTGCGTTCATAGAATAAATGAACTTATTTTTGTTCTGATACATGTACCTAAAAGTACACTTAAAGCATTTAATTTTTCTTGAATTAATCTATTCTGCCTTACTACAAATTTGGTTAAACTTATCTAGATATTAGAATACTTGCTTGTAAGCACCTGATTTAAATAGGGAGAACTCTGAGATCTAAGATATTTTGGGGGATGTCTAAGTAAAGTCTCTGCCTGTTGCAAGTCAGACTTGGGAGATTCTCATTATTAAGGTTGCGTGTACTATAGAGTCTTCCTAGTTTTTTTTGATGGGATGAAGGGGGTATTGCAGAGGTGAACGTTATGCAGGAGCTTACAAAGAGGATCTCCCTCCAGTAATGAAAACATTATAATAATTCATATATTTCTGCTCAGTTTTCATAATATCAAGTTTGCTGATGACACTAAGCTGGGAGGGGTGGCCGACACGCCAGAAGGCTGTGCTGCCATCCAGCGAGACCTGGACAGGCTGGAGAGTTGGGTGGGGAATAACTTGATGAAATATAACAAGGGAAAGTGTAGAGTCCTGTATCTGGGCAGGAACAACCCCAGGTTCCAGTATAGACTGGGGAACGACCTGTTAGAGAGCAGTGTAGGGGAGAGGGACCTGGGGGTCCTGGTGGACGACAGGGTGACCATGAGCCGACACTGTGCCCTTGTGGCCAAGAAGGCCAATGGCATCCTGGGGTGTATTAGAAGGGGGGTGGTTAGTAGGTCGAGAGAGGTCCTTCTTCCCCTCTACTCAGCCCTGGTGAGACCTCATCTGGAATATTGTGTCCAGTTCTGGGCCCCTCAGTTTAAGAAGGACAGGGACCTGCTGGAGAGAGTCCAGCGCAGGGCAACTAAGATGATTAAGGGAGTAGAGCATCTCCCTTATGAGGAAAGACTGAGGGAGCTGGGTCTCTATAGTCTGGAGAAGAGGAGACTGAGGGGTGACCTTATTAGTGTATATAAATATATAAAGGGGGAGTGTCACAAGGATGGAGCCAGGCTCTTCTCAGTGGCAAACAGTTGACAAGGGGCAATGGGTACAAACTGGAACACAAGAGGTTCCACTTAAACTTGAGAAGAAACTTCTTCTCAGTGAGGGTGACGGAACACTGGAACAGGCTGCCCAGGGAGGTTGTGGAGTCTCCTTCTTTGGAGTCATTCAAAACCCGCCTGGACACGTTCCTGTGTAACCTTATCTAGGTGTTCCTGCTCCGGCAGGGGGATTGGACTAGATGATCTTTTGAGGTCCCTTCCAATCTCTAACATACTGTGATACTGTGATAATACTTCCATTATTACAGAGCTTGGAACTACCAATGTAGGCAAGGTATCATTACATGATGTTACTAAAATGTAACTTTTGATTTTACATAAGCTATAGCTGTTAAAAAATATGAAGCATAAAGATTAGGAAACTAATAGGTAGGTATAAAATACATTTACAGCAAAGTCTGCAGCATTCTAGACTTAAAGTACCTTAATGGATCTTTAGGTATCCATTATTGTATTAATAAAGTTGATCTGATTATAAAGAAAAAAGAGAACAAGGCTTCCCATTGTCTAACAGATAATTGTAACTTCAGTGTTTCAGAAGGTTTTTGATCTAATTGAAGCTAATAGCTACCAAGTTATTGATTTGTAATTTGAAAGAGGTCATTATTTCACGGATGAGAAAGCAGAATTGCTTTAATGATTTGGTAACATGTACCCATGATTCTCCACTGGGATTACAGTAAGATAACAGTTAATACTCTTCCTTAAGTCATTTACTTACCTCGAGTAATCAAAACAAAAAGAAACATTCTTTTCTCCTGCAACTGGGTATGTTGTGAAAATGTAAGAAGAATGAAAAGTTTTTGTACAAGCTCTACAAATATATTCGGGGAAATGTCTTGGTCCAAGAAATAAATTCAGGAAAATGTCTTGTTCACTGAAGTATGGAAGGGAAGAATAAAATGGGTGTGTATATCTATTTTTTATAGGTACAAGTAATGGGTCTGTCCTGGTGTTTCATCTTACAAGTGGACTCTTACACAAAGAGTTAAGCATCCACTCCTGTGAAGTCAAGTAAGACCTTAATTTTAATTCCTATTATAATCCTCCTGGGAGATAAATAGTAAAACATGTAACTAATGCTGTACCAGCAATGTGGGTGGGTGTCTTACTTCATTGTTGATGATCAAGAAAATTGAGTATTCAGTAGTCTACCCTAACAGTATTTTTGCTATGTATAAGGAGTTAATCAGAGTGAATATTGCCTTGAACTAAATATTTTAATTGTATGTGTGCCTGCTGATCTAGGATGCATACCAACTAATTCCACTTTCTTTAGTGCATTGTAGTACAAAGAAGCCTTTTTAGGACAAGAAACTGTGATAAAGTGTCTTATTTATGTAATTGTTGTGACTCTCAGATTGTGTCCTCTGAAGTAATTCTGGTTTGTACACTAAGGTTTATTTCCTTTGCCTCCTTGGGACTGAAATTGCTGTTGAGGCACTTTTAGTCCTAACTGCAGTAAAAAGAATTTTAGCGTTAAAAGATTTTAAAGACCAAATACAGGACTCGGTATTTATCCAGCCTAAGTAGGTACAGAGTAAGTTGTAAAGTTTCTGGACTGTGTACACAATGGCATAATTCTTGGGATAACTAGTGGCAAACATACTCAAGATGGTGCTTGCTAGATACATATTTCTAGACAATTTAAGCATTGAAAATAAGATATTTATTTTTAATAGTAATATTAGTAAAAATTCCTAGCAAAGTTGTGGTATGAAGCCTTCGTCATATTAGGATCTTTATTATCCTGTTCATTCTCTCAAAAGTTAAGACAAGTAGAGGTGACTGAGGATAGATAACACTAAGAGTTCATTATGGAAACCTGCTTTGAAGCTAGTGCAGAAACATGTAAGTATATTTATCTTTGTGGTGCGATAGCACTGTAAGAATAGAATTCCCCTTTCTGTTCAAAACCATATTAGTTTTCTGGTTTCATACCATTAACTACTTAAAGAATTCTTTTCATTTTATCTTCTATTACCCAGAACAAGAGCACACACCTTTAAGGTGATTATAAAATCAGAGTAATTTAAGATGGGGAGACAGGAGGAAATATGCTTTTGAAGACATATTTCTTTAGCTTTCATTTAGGCTTTGTATGTTATTGAAGTCTTGTCAGTTTGGGCTTTTCAGTTTGTAAAGGATTTGCAACACTTGAAAAACTTCAAGAATCCATTGTCTTTCTAGCAGCTGTCCTCGCTCAAGTGGTATTTGTAGAACAAAGTTAAAATGACTGTGAATGTTATTTAGCCATAAGCTCTTATCTGGGCGAGTGTTTAATCATTGGTTTTCATTTCCTCAGTCCCACTCTAAATGGTCTGAGTGACTTTCCACATCATTTTTACAAGTTTAAGGGAATGCTTTAAGCAATGCAGAATAAGGCACAGGGATTTGGGAGGGGTTTAATTAATATTCGTGGAGTGGAACAGTTTTTCTTTCAGTGGGAATTCTTGCTTTACGTGTGCAGACAGATTAGTTAATGCCTCTGTTTCAATTTTGTCTGAAAATACACCTCCAGGGAACACCATTATTTTAGTATGTAATTGGGAATACCCTGAAATTGTAACTCAAGGCCAGCAGAATTTTTAGTGCTCTATAGTTTGAGAATGTGATAAAACTAAGGTCTTTGGAACAGCAACTGTCCTTTATGTATCAGCTGCGCTAAAATAATGGCCATTGAGTTGTCTAGGTACTAGCAGTTGTGACATTTTTCAGTGATTAAAGTGCTCTTCTATAGAAGCTACATATTCAGTGAAAGTGAACTAGAAGCTGCATTGCAGGTACTCTATTTGCATGTCTTGAATTGCCTCATTGTTTTTGCTTATTCTCAGAGATACCTGTGACTGGGGCAGTGCTTCTCATTCTTTTTCACTGAAACTCAGCAAGTTCAAGGTTGCAACAGCTTTAATTTTTGAAATTAAAATCTCACTGACTGCAACAAGAATGTGTATGGCCTGCAGGCAAAACTTGCAGATCACTGCATTACGCCCAAATTTTAGCACTTTCAGCTGGTTTAGCAGTTTTGTTTAAGCTGACTCCCCTTTGGAAGACTGCTTTGCAAACATTCATCACATCTTCAGGAAGCTTTCCTCACATAAAGGAAGATGAATGAAAACTATTTGCCACCTCTGTCATACAGTGTTCCTGTGCTGGATTTATTTCTGTGCATTAGTAAATACATGTTAACTGGCAAGTGTAAGCAGCGTTGCAATGAAATCCTGTGTAATCAGAATTGAATTCTCAAGTTGCCATTACAGGCTGTATATTGATCTCAAAAGTAGCATATTCAGCACTTAATTGTAATTTCTTTCTTAACCATCCTCTTCTTAAAAAGGAAAAACTAGTTCCATTGCTGATGTTCATTTTTGGCACGTAGAACGTACAAATACTTGAGAAAGTAGAAAGAAAATTCTTTTTTAAATACTAAAATTTGAGGGTGAGTGTATTTTCTGATAATATGATTGAGATTTTAATACAGTTTGCTTTTAGATAAGGTATTATTTCCACTCTTCCCTTTTTCTTAGAAATCTTGTAACTGGTTTGATTAGCAGCTGACTTGACACAGAGTCACAACAATCCATTCCTAACTAGAAGAGTAATTTGTGTTTTTATCTGCTTCAGTACACTCAGCACAATTTGTTTGCACTGGAATCATTAATCAAAGCTGAATCTTACCCTTGAAATAACTGAGACAAGTTGAGTAAAGAATCCCTGAATTTGAGCAACCTGGTCTAGAGGAGGTTGTCACTAGAACTAGATGATCTTGAAGGTCCCTTCCAACCCAAACCATTCTAGGATTCTGTGATAATTTCAGGTTTTAAAAGAGTGGCTGCAGTCTGAAGAGTAATTTACAGCTGAATGTAACCCTTAATTCTAGTAGACAAAGATGTCTTTTATGAGGAAATTTTGCAAATTGGGATATTTCAATAGGGAAGACATTACTTGTTTCCTTCATTAAAACTTGAACCACTATCTTGAGATTCTTCATTTACATGTATGACAATAAAAAAAATGCGTATTGTTTCAGGTGTCAGCAGTTAGCTAAGCTAAGGTTTCCTTTTACTTATGAGTATCTTGTGTTTCTGTAGATTTTTATTGGTATTGACAGACTGCCTGGTAGCAGCAAAGAAAAAGGACTTGTCCTGTTCAATCTGAGCTGATGAAAGAAGTATAGAAAATGCCTCAAGTCTTGGAACGAGAATGGTGACTACTGCTGGCAATAACAATGCTTAGGAGTATTCTGTGCCTTTTCCAAAAAATCATGGTAGAATAATAGATAAAAATAGGTGTCAGAACTGATATTTCTTCCATTCCAGAAAGCTCCTTGTATTTAAGACCCTTTGGAGGCTTGCAGTGTCACACATTACTGCACTTAGATTTCTATTCAGTTATTCCTATAATGTTTCGATGAATAATTGAATACTTCTCATTTTGACTGAAATTATTCAATAACTTAAAACTTGATATATTCAGTAATTCAGTTGAACTTTCATAGGTCCTGGTTGGAAAAAGGACCGGGTCCTAAATTTTTAAGTTTACTTGAGGATAGGGGAGAATAATGGGAATAAAGCTTCTATTTTCTTAAAACTTGAACTAAAAAAAAGATAAATATGGCCATAACATACATGTGCAAAATATTATGGGGGTGTTTTTTGCTTTCACACGTCTAAATTGCATTTAGGGATCTTCTACTTAATACGACATGAGTTGGATTTACTGACAGTCGTACCTACTGTTATTTATCTTTCTCATATTTCATATATGTTTGTGCAAGAGAGACCATGACTCTTTCAGTTGATATAACAGAAGACTTGTCCTGGAAGTAGTTAAGTAATCTATGTTTGAAGGATTGGAGAAAAACCTAAATCCATTTATCCATTAAAATGAACGTTTTGGGAGGCCATATGTATGTATTAGAACAATCTCAATTTTTGTTCAAATCAGTTCCTTGATGTATTTCGCAGATAAACCACTCAGCCATTTATGCTGGCACAAAGTGTGTGTGGGCAATGGGGAGGGAGGACTATCTGCTTTTGGAACAGTACCACCTAGTGCTGCTTCCCATTCTTTTGTGGCCTGTGGTATATTTTAAGAATTTGATTAGAATCCATATGTGCTGACAGAATGTTTTTAACTTTACATCCTTGCCAGGCTTCAAGGTAATTTGGTTTTTGGCTGCCTTGGCATCATCTAAACCAACAAAAAATATTACCATGTTTTCAGTTCTCTCCTGAAAGCCTTTCAGATCTGTTCAGTGCTTCTCTTTTTTGCTAATCAGTTGTTTTTCCTCTCTCTGAACTGAAAGAGTCAAGTCTACGCACACCGCTATCCATATGAATATTTTTCTGTGTGTTGGCAAATTCAAGTTCCTTGATAGTTCTCATTTGGTAAACTACTGATTTAATCAGAGCAGTGCTTTTAATCTGCTCTGGTGCTGAGCATCTGTGAGGGAGTTTTGCAAAAGTTTCCAGTGTTTTTCTCACTGAAATTTTTCTTCCAACCAAACAAGTGTAGTCTGAAAAGAAAGATCTTTAATTTAATTTGCTAACTTCATATTTACATCATAGTTGTAAATGCACAGCTTCTTTTTATGCTTAAACATAGTGTTCCATAAACTGTAAAAAATTACTTCCATGCTGTTTTCAAATTGAAGAATATACATGAAAAAATCTACTGTACTTCAGTCCAGATATTTGCTAAGCCATCTGAATACTTTGGCTCATATGCTCCATGTACTTTTTTGATGACAGGGGAATTGAGTGGATAAGCTTGACTGGGTTTATTTCCTTCGCCACATCAACACCTAACAATCTGGGGCTAGTAAGGAATGAGCTGCAGCTCGTGGACCTACCAACAGGTTAGTACTTCCTGAGAAATCTGTTCAAGAAGCTGACAGATTTGCTGGGGAGTGACAAACATAAGTTCTTACTGCCCTTTTTTTCCCTTCTGTTGTCATGACAAAATAATAAAGAGGAGTTTTAACTTGTTCTGCTCCTCTGTCTTTGTGAAGCCACGTAATATGTTCCATCTGGTTCTCTACGACAAGCCTGAAACAACACCTTTGCAAAAATGCCTGTGGCTTGCATTATTAAAACAATAAATATGTGTCTGCAGGAGGCTTAGAAGCATTCACACAGTACAGTGGTGTGTTTTGTTCACAGAACGCGTGTGTTTTCAAATGTGTTTTGTCACAGTCTCAACCCATAGTTTCATGTGCGTCTGTAATGGTGTTGAACTATTTATTGTGGTTTGTATCAGCAATAGATAGTTAATTAACTTTAATGAGTAGCATAAAGTGGGGTTTTTTTAATCGGGTTTGTTTAAGCTTATGTTAGGCCAGGCATATGGCCAGAATTTGAGTGTGTGTATTAATGTAAAAAGCGTATTTTAGTAATAACATGATAATTTTAGAAGATTTGGAAGGGTTAAAAAATAAATAACTTTGATAGCAAAGTTAACAGGTGGTGGGTGTTTTTTCAGCTATTCTGGCCTTAAAATGAATGACAGATATATTTATGATTGAACTCAAGAGCACAATACTAGGAGGTATAATTTGGGAGATTAGACAGCCCAAAATAGGAAGCATTGAATGATTTTAAATTATTTCTGAATGTGAAAACCTGGAGCCATTTGATTTCTAATGAAGTGCCTGAATCTTGTAACACTTGGGCTAATTCTAAATTGCTTTATGTAGCAAAAAGTGAATTTGTAATTTTTTTTAAGCTTATAAAAAAGACCCAGTTTCTTCACTTCCAGGGTGCTGCACAAAGAGACTGTTCTTCTAACACGACAGTATTGATGCTTTTTTTCTGTATAATGTCTTTTGTTCATTTGTTTAAAATCAAACAAAAAAAGATCTGTACTTTGTAAAATTGATCTCCTGTAAAATGGGATTTTGATTTTTTTCCCTCAGCTTGTAAATTAGTATTCAAATATTTATAAATATGAGTGATAAAAGGTTCCATAGTTCCTTAGGCAACCAAGTTTCAAGTAAATGTGAATATCTGAGATCTTATGCATATGCTTTAAAGCATATGCTTTGCTTTGCTTAGGAAATGTTACATTTCCTCTTTCAAAGCTTACCAGAAAGGCATGACTACTTAACTCTTTGTTGGTTCTTCTATCACTATTTAGCCCAACTTTCTATTTGAGGGCTAGGAAAACTGTGCTGACTTGTATTTACTTCATAAACATGTTGACAAAACTCTCATTTATGTTTCTGAATTAAAATAAAGAAGAAAAATCCTAAAATTATTCATCATTAATGAAGAAGATAGAGCTGGGAGTTTTTCTGTAGCCGGGCCTCTGACATGAGAGCTCTAACCAGCATCGCTGATAACTAGATGTATTCACAGAATTGGTGTAAGATAAGTAATTTACCTATGATCAGCCACAAGAGTGGCTAAAGTTTGAAAACCTGACATTTTGTTGAAAGTTAAGGTGAACGAAACTTGCACAGGAGATGCTGTGATACCCTGGTGTTTGTAGGTTAGTTATTTTAATGATATGTATATCATCTTTAATTCTGCAACCCATTGTACAAGTGGGTGAAAATTCTCTTGGGGATAAGATTATAATGTCTTAGGGTTGATTCTTTTAGCTGGAAAGAGAGAATGGTTCTGCTAAATGTAGAATGAGTCCTTCACCATGGAAATGCTTTCAGACATAGTTTATGGCAGAGTTCATTTCTCTTACAAAACTTGAAATGTATGCATGAATTTCTACCTTGGGGATTTGGAGTGGATCTCATTGGCTTTGACTGCAAAATTACAACTCTTTCTACATATTTATGTAATGCTGATGATGCATCAGTTTCAGTGCTCTGGAAGTGAGTGAGGTTGTAAGAGTTTATGTGATATTTAGTTCTTCGAAATGCAGTAAAGGTTCAGCAATCACAAGAGTAATATACAACAGGTTACTTGGAGATATTCTTGTTTAGTTTGTAAGCTATTTCTATTTACAAACAAAATAGTTAATAAACTAGTTTAGTAACTCTTTCTGTTTTCTCCCATGTTATTTTTGTGTTCCAGGCAGGAGCATTGCATTTCGTGGGGAGCGAGGTAATGATGAGCCAGCTATTGAGATGATAAAGGTGTCTCATTTGAAGTAAGTACATTAGCATTGTGAAGTTTATAGATTTTACTGCATGAAGATCCTCATGACTTAATAGACATAATAGAAATTCCAGGAAAAAAACACTCCAGAGAGCACAGAAAAATGTACAAAGCATAAAGAGAAAAATACTTTAGCATATTAGTTCAAAGTGCAAAAGCTGTAATGTTTGTGTGATTGACTTTCTCACTTCAGGATCCAAACACACTGCAAGATCAGTCATTAATATTCTAGGGTTTTTAAGAATTGGGTTCACTGAACAGACCTTTTGTTAATCTTAGGAAGAATAAAAGTGCTGAACAGTTTTTGTCAGTTATGATTGTTATGACTTAATTCTCTTTTCTCTAACTTAAGGCGTGCTTAAAACTGTAAGATTGGCATTAAAGGTGGGATGATTTTTGCTGTATTCATCAATTTTTCTAACTACCTATTTCACACCTTTATAATAATTGTCTACTGGAAAACCAGATGTGAGGTATTGTTCTTTGAGGAATCAGCTGATAAATGACCACATTGTTTGCATCAAGTCCTGCTTATGTTTGAGATAAGTCCTGTGACAGTAGACGCTGGTCTTGATTGTATCAAAAGTAGTAACATAGTACTCTGAGATTGCTTTCCTGTGTAAATGAAATTAAAAGTGTCGAGTTTAATACAGCACTGTCTCTAAATTTTAAAAGTGAATGCTTTTTTCTTTACAGTGGAGGGAAAAAATAATGTTCTCTAAGCGTGCACAGGAATAGTTTTGGTAGTATGTATGCGAACCAGAACTGGAGGAGTTCAACCATAAAATGGTCTTATTAATGCATTAAAAATTAAGAACTGCTGTGGGCATAGTTGATGAGACTAGACTTAACTGAGAACAAGAAAGGATAGTTCATTTCAATGGAGACTAATGCAGTTATGAAGGGTAGACATAGCTGCAGAGCCTCTGTATTCTCAAGTTAAACATGAAAAGTGGTAGACTGAAAGTGGTGTACTCATCTAGCTCCACAGATGAGTGGTCTGAAGACATAACTGTCAAGTGGTTTAGTGCAAGAGGATTTTATGTTCATTTATCACTGGATTAGAGAAATGGCATGTGTCTGGATCAGATTAAAAATCTGTCCAACCTACAGTCTTAGCATGTCTTTCTGATACCTTGTGCAGTCATCAACTTGGCTGACTATGGCTAAATTTGAAGAGCTGCTGCTTTCTCTGAATGCATTCTCTGGTCTCCTTTACAGTAACTGAGCAGCACCACATGACAGAAATTTCTGATTCTTCTAGCTTTGAAAGAGGACTCATCTTCAGGCACTCTTTTGCACCTCAGCAACACAATGAAATTACAACCTTCAGAGCAGGGTTTCAGCCAAATTACAGTTTCCTTAGTTTTAGAGGGTTTCCACAGTGGTGCTATGAACAACACGTGTGAAGTGAAATGCTCCAATTGATATGGAATGGTTAATATTGATGTAATAAATTCTTACCTGTTTTAGGCAGTATCTAGCTGTGGTATTTAAAGACAAGCCACTGGAGATCTGGGATGTCAGAACATGCACTCTGCTCAGAGAAATGTCTAAAAACTTCCCAATAGCGACTGCTTTGGTAAGGAATAAAATCTGTTACTGTTTGTTAAATGTAGTATGTTGAGATAGTATCAAAACCTCTGAACAGCTTTGCAGCAAAATATTATTGTATTTGTAGCATACAGGTAAGTGCTTTCATCCTTCCATTTTAGTCTGTCATCAAATAAGAGGGAATTACAAAACAGGTACTGGTGGAAAAAGCAAGTCTGCTCCTTTGGGTGATGGAAGGAGGGATTATGGAAAGACAGTCTTCATTGAAATCATTCAAATTAACAGAAAAATCCCTGTAAATTTGGGGAGTAAACATTTGTCTTTCCCATTCTTTTTTTCACAGGAGTGGTCACCTTCTCACAACCTAAAAAGCCTGAGGAAGAAGCAGTTAGCAGCCCGTGAGGCCATGGCCCGGCAGACGGTTGCATCAGATACTGAGGTTAGCAGCGTGGAATCTTCTGTGATCAGGTATTTCTCATGCTAGTATGATATTCTGCATCGCTTGTTTTTCCACCATGTGCCACTGCTCTACAGAACAAAATATTTTGGAAGTGATTCTCAAGTGCATACCACAGGGCAACTTAATAGGCCTCCTTAATAGGCCGGATCTTTGATGTATTGCTGGATGAGAGAAATAGAGTACCTGGTTTTCAGGTGCAGCAGTCCGGAAGTCACCTGATGCTTGAAGTAAAACAATGAAAAGTTGCCTATGAAAGTTTCCACAAGTGTATAAAGGAGTTAGCTGTTGCTCCTGGATAAATTGTTTTGAAGGATACATTCATTTTTGTGCTGCCTCTGTGCATTAGTTATGGAGAATTTGCTTTGCAATTCTAATTTCAAGAAAGAAATACTTGTGTCTCATGGTGTTCTCTTTAAAGCTTATTACAGGAAGCCGAAAGTAAATCAGAGCTGAGCCAGAAAATTTCTGCCAGAGAGCACTTTGTGTTTACAGGTGCTGATTGGCAGGTTTATCATCTCACAGTAGAAGGAAACTCAGTAAAAGACAGTGCAAGAATTCCTCCTGATGTGAGTTCAAATTTCCTGTATTCTTGATGCTTTAATTTCTTTTTTGTATCTGTTATTGCCAGAAAAAAATCAGGAATACGCCTTGTAGTGACAAGTAGGCATTAATGCAGTGTTTGAAATATGTAATTAAAATTCCAACTTCAAAAGCCATATCAATTCTGGTTTTGCAATCTTAATTTTTCTTTTGAAAATACTGTTGAAATCAGTGAATTGATTCATTGAGCACCTCTCGTATGAAGATAGGCTGAGAAAGTTGGGGCTGTCCAGCCTGGAGAAGAGAAGGCTCTGTGGAGACCTCATAGCAGCCTTCCAGTATCTGAAGGGGGCATATAGGGATGCTGGGGATGGACTCTTCATTAGGGACTGTAGTGATAGGACAAGGGGTAACGGGTTAAAACTTAAACAGGGGAAGTTTAGATTGGATATGAGCAAGTTCTCTCCTGTGAGGGTGTTGAGGCACTGGAATGGGTTGCCCAGGGAGGTTGTGAATGCTCCATCCCTGGCAGTGTTCAAGGCCAGGCTGGACAGAGCCTTGGGTGAGATAGTTTAGTGTGAGGTGTCCCTGCCCATGGCAGGGGATTGGAACTGGATGATCTTAATGTCCTTTCCAACCCTAACTATTCTATGATTCTGTTTTGTCATTCTATGCATTTTTTTTTAGAGTTTAGAATCTTCATAGGCCCTGACTTGCTTTCTGAATAAATTACTCAACCTATTTTTAATAATTTTAATAAAGCATATACAAAAGCTTGAATAACAAAGAGGATGTTATTGAAGCATGACTGTGTTCTGTTAATGGATTTTTATCTTGCATCATAAGGACTTGAGTGGGCCGGAGCATTCTTTTCTGAATTTTAAGTTGGCTTTTATTTTCTTAGTTATTCTGAAGAATAGTTTTTCTTTCAGTTGTTTTTGAAGGCTTTGATAAATTGAACTTACAAATAGGAATTCTTTTCTTTTTGTTTTCTTTTTTACTCTGTGCTGGTATTGTGATAAATGAGGTCTGTCATTTTGGTCTTTCCTTGCAACAAGAGATAAAGAACTGATTTCCATTGCTTTAAATCCAAAATTTCTTACAAGGAAATGTCTTCTGAAGCAAATATGAGTGACGTGATAAATGCTTATATTTGATAGAATTTGGTCTTTCCCGTCATAAAATATTTAAAAAAAGAAATGTTTGTTCCTATGTTTGGCTCCATTAATCACAAGATGTTGTTCTGCTTCTTAAATATTTTCAGGGAAGTATGGGTAGCATTACATGTATTGCCTGGAAAGGAGATACCCTGGTTCTTGGAGATGTTGATGGAAACTTAAACTTCTGGGATTTAAAAGCTAGAGTATCCAGGTATGAATGCAAGTTAAGTCTGACAAACGTGAAATAACGTGTCTTAGAATGTTTCTCCCCACCTTCATTTTTTACTTCACTGTAGGAGGTCACCTATAGTGCTTGAAGGGAAAAATGCAAGTATTCTGAAATACAGTTTCAGAAAATGCCTGCTGTGATACAGTTCTCTGCACTTCATCTTTCGTGTTTTCAATTGGAGTAGCTTTTTATCAGTGTTTTTCAAATAGATATTTTATGTTAAATCTGCAATGGCTTCTGATAAAACATTGAGTATTATAACATTTATTTAAAGCATTTAACTGTTAAGTTTTTATCATTTGGATAGCCATTTATGTGTGTGTATAGATAGATAGATTTTTCTCCTTCTTAATCTGTGCGATATCAGGATCTGCAACATTCATGGGAAGGACTTAACTACCCACAATATTAGGTATAGGGTGATTGATACTAATTTTTGTGCTTTCCTTTTCTTAGGGGGATTCCTACACACCGAAGCTGGGTGAAAAAGATCCGTTTTGCCCCAGGCAAAGGAAATCAAAAACTTCTTGCAATGTACAATGATGGAGCAGAAATTTGGGATTCCAAAGAGGTGAGTGTCTCTTCTTTTGGTATGGGCTTCTTCGCAAAATGCACATACTACTGAAAATCAGGGCACGTCAGTGGTTAAGTTTTAATTAGTCCTGATCTCTTGCTGACAATTGTGTGGTAAATTTGTATGGCTTTTAGTTCCTATAAAGCATTTTTAAGCTGGCATCAGTGAAAAGTTCCTTTCACACATAAAGCCGACAGTGTCTCTGAGATACTTTTTGTCATTCTTCTGTAATGTTTTTGAGGTAGACATTGAAAATCTAAGGGCAATCCTCAATATTAGGATTTAATTTATGGACAAGAATATTTTTACTCCGGGTTTCTTAACTTTTCTGCATAGTCAACAGTATGGATCTGTCATTGCATGGATTTAATTTGGCAGTGGATACCAGGAAGCAACTTGTTAATTAACATTGACTACCTTCTTCCTCAGAAATTCTGTAATAATGTTCACATACCTTCTGTGTTTGCTTCATATGCCTTTCGAGGGATTATAGTACCATGGGGCAGGAAAGGTAATTGTACTGGTTTAACTTAGCCTCCCAGAGTAAATTCTGGACATGAGGGTATGAAATGGGAATTTATGTTTTTTTTCTGTTCACTTTGCAATGGGCACCAGCTCCGAACTTACTTTGACGCTTAATTTGAACAACGTGAAACTCTCTCTGATGATCAGAATTGGACAGCAGATACAACCAACACCTGTGAATTATGTAGGCACAATAGAATGTTATCACATGAAACATTTAAATAGTTTTGGTAGCATTGGATTCTCCCCCTGTAGCTGTTCCCTCTCTTTTTCTGGGACAAGGAAGAGTTTCCTATGTGAAAGCATTTAAATTAATTCATGTTTTCAGCCAAAAATCTTTCAGAATATCTATAGAAATATTTTACTATTTTCCGTGTAATCATATCCTGAGAACTTCATGTTTGCCTATGACCAGTTACCCATATTTCCACATTTTTCTCTATCACAACTGAGAGTAATCATGCTCTAGTGCTGTTGGACTTTCAATCTCTTAAATCCATGCTTTCCCCTAGAGTAAGTGAAACAAAACAGCAGAATGTTGAGTGCAGCAGAGGCTTCATAAATATTGCCTTATATTAATAATTATAATGTTTGGTGATGCTACAGAGGGGTTACAAAATGTCTAACTACTGACCTGTGGTTAAAAGTGCAGTTTGGAACATTTTGCTTCTCCGGTTTGTTTGTGGACAATAAATCATCCTATTCCCATAATGTTATGTTAATAGTATGTCAAAATGTATTTCTGGACAAGCTCATTATTTATATGTTTGTGAAGAGCATGATTTAATTAATGAGACACTCACTTTTGCCTTGATGCATGTTGATCAGGGACTGGAATGGAAGAGTTTAACCAGTTTACCATGGCAATGTTACGTCAGACAAAACACGATTGATACAAAAACCACAATAGGCAGCTGTACAGCTGTGCTCAAAAGGATCTTTTCTCAGCTATCAGTTGGGAAGTATTGTTTCAGGGCAACCATATGCCCTACTCCAAGGTTTCTGAATATCCCTACTCTTCAGAAAAGATCAGCATTAAAATGACTTATGACTAACTTCACCTTTTACTGCAAATTCTGTGGTGTGCATTATGGGCGTGTGGCAGAGTCTTACACTGCGTGATGGAAAGCCTACTAAAAATGAAAAATAACTTTTCAAGGTACAAATGGTGAGCAGTTTAAGGAGTGGAAGGAACGTCAATTTCCGAATCTTGGATGTGGACTGGTGCACTTCAGACAAAGTGGTCTTGGCATCAGATGATGGGTGCATTCGAGTTTTAGACTTGTCCATGAAACCGTCATGTTTTAGAATGGATGAACAGGACTTAATAGGTATGTTGATTTCTTCCTGGCTGTTGACTGCTAGATACTTCACTTTGAAAGTGAACCATAAAAGTGTTCAGAGAATTGTCACATCTAGAGGATTAGGTGTCCCCATAGTAGGTTCTTCATAGATGCAGATAAATTTTTTAGGCTTAGGTCATACGGGTGTGTTTTTCATGCGTATTTAAGCTCCTGAATAAACTATACTTTTTAGTGTCTTAGTTGCAATATAAGGTAACAAAATAAGAGGGGTTTTGTACAAATTTCTATCAAGTTGACCAAAAAATCCTGGATACATCAATTGAGTATCAGTACCTACGTTGCTTAAATTCATCACATGATTTTGAAAGATTTCGTAACATGTGAAAATGTCTTTTTGAATATTCCCAGAGATCAAAGGCAGTTTGTAGACTGATCTATTATTTTTCAAAGTAGATTTTCCCACTGAACTCTAAAACATCTGTATTGAGGCTGTTTGACTTTTTTTGGCTGTATCTTTAAGAAGGGAATTTAAATATTGAACTATTTAAATTGCTAGCTAAGCTACATTTTTTATTACTGATGTTCCAAATAACTGCCTTTATTTTGGTCTTTTTTATTCAATCCTGCCTTCACTCATACAATTTCCCTAACATAAGACATATGTAATAAAGACATATGTAATAAAGACACATGTAATAAAATTACAGTGTTGGGGGGCTGTGGTGTGGATTGTTTGAGGAAACACATAGTTTATCACAGCAATTTTTACTATCAAATGAATTCTGTAATATTAAGCTATAAAAATTAATGTTCTAAAGCCAAGCACACTGAAATTGGGATATGCCAGGGTTTAAGGCTGCCGTGATTTAGCTGTCCTGCCTCTATACCATGGTAACCTCTTAATTACAAAATCACAATGAAAAGATTCCTGTATCATTCAGTGCATATGAAGTACAGGGAATTGCTGAATATTTAATAGTATAGCTGGTTGATACTTGTTTTTCTACTAAGTTAGTAGGGTAATGTTTACTGTGCTTATCATCCAGACCTTGTACTGAATAGACTTACTGCCTTAAAGTTGTATGATTAGCATACAACTGTGTAGCACAGTTAGTGCTATGATTTTAATGTTATTTCTTTACTAATATAGACATGTATTAACCTTCACACCATTCTTATCAGATGGTGGGCATTTATCCTTGTATAATGCTGTAGAAACTACAATTGTAAACTAGAACATGCATTGTGGTGGGTTTTGGTATAGCTGTGCTTACTCTTCAGCATGTCCTTGTAGTAGCAATAATCATTGTATACAGCTCTACTTAAATGTATTCCAGGAATCTGGCTAAGCTTAATATGGAATGCCGTGAAACTCTCATTTGGGCATGGTTGATAACCCTCTACCTTCAATGAAATGTTTTTGCTTGTGTGTAAAGATAATCTTTTATGTCTAGTAAGCCATGCTGTGTGTATGAAAACACTGGGATTTACGAGTTTCTTCTGGTGCTCAAAAACAAGGTGGTACATTTTATGGTTACTGAACAGAGTGTTATTGCACATTAGCTGCTCAACAATGAATCTTTTCCTTTTATTTCAGAACCTGCTTGGTGCCCCTATCTGCTTGTTCCAAGGGCTTCATTAGCTTTAAAAGCATTCTTGTTGCATCAGCCGTGGGATGAGAAATATTCTCTAGATATTATAAACACGTAAGAAGAAATATGTATCTATACGTAAAATGTTACTGTTGTTTCTAAGCCTACATCTTTTGTTAGTCTTTCTGTGCAAGTAATTGTTAGACCTAAGTTTCCTCACTCTTTGAGACAGTCAAGAAAATAACAGCTTCAGTATTTATTACTAAAAATAATTAAAAGAAAGAGCTTTAAGGTGAAGTGTTTTATTTATTCTGACTTTCAATAGAACTTGGCTATTGAAAATTGCTCTCTAAGCTGCTGGTAAGATTTTTGCGTAGGCCTGGCTTTACTTTTAGGGAGCTGTGCTTACATCATAGCTTGAGCACCTTTTTGTATCCTTTATTGTGTTTTTATACCATTGGTATCAATGGGTTTGGCATTGGCATTTTCATAAAATTCAAGGTTCATGAATAGAAGTGGTGAATGAAAGATTGGTGGCACTGACTGAAGTTGAGAGAAAGCAAACCAAGTTTTCACTGCTATTTTGGAACCAGTAACTAGACAAAGAATCTTGAATGAATGGCTTCCCCTAAGAATATGGAAAGGTTATTTCCATGTATGTGCTTGTGTTTTTCTACTACCAGTAATACTTTTTAATTTCAGATAATTCTGTCATTTTTGGTAATATAGGAAACCTGCTTACTTCTTATCTTTTTTTCTTTTATATCCAGTGATTATCCAGAGAATGAAAATATTAAAAACCTCCTTCAAGAGCAGTTGAATTCGTTGTCCAAGTAAGAATTTTCCTTATTAATATTTGAGTAAGCTAGGGAATTCAGGGAAGGCAAAACCCCTGAATTTGTGGCAGTTAACAACTTAATGTAGAAAAAGTGCTTTTTGCCTCTCTAAAGATAACCTTGAGTAGTGACAGCTTTTATTTTAAACACAGTTAAGTTTTATTTTTATGTAGTTCTTCAAGGTGGTGCTTTATTCATTTTATTGAGGATATTAATTTTTTATTTCTTTTTTCTAATTAAAAATACGCCCTAATACAATCTGAACAATATATTTTTTTTAAATACACAAACTATCTCAAAATAGCTTGTTAAATACTGATTCAACACTCAAAATGCATTGTTCTAAATATATGTCAAGTGTGATGGAAATCAATATTGAATTTTTAACATGGACTTACCATAGTAGTGGCTGACAAGAACAGTTTCAAAGACACTGATTAGGGTTAGTATAAAGGTTGTAACTGACCTCTGAGCATTCATAATTCTATGGCAGTACTTCTCAGTGATGTTTGGTTCTTTGATATTGGTCCAGACTTCATTGGACACTGGTGCTTATATACGCCAAGGTTTGTTATGATATTTAAGCTCTGAGGAAGAAAATACAAACAATTGTAAAAATCCTTTATTGGAGATATACTTCCAAGGTAATTTTTTTGCAGACTGTTCTGCTTACATGGAAAACAGATTTTTATATTCCATTTAAACTATGAAAAGTTTGGGTTGAATGTGGCTTTCAGCAACCTGCTCTAGTGGCTGGTGGCCCTGCCCATGGCAGGGGGTTGGAACTGGGTGAGCTTTAAGGTCCCTTCCAACCCAAACCAGTCTGGGGTTCTGTGATTCTATGATATTTAAAGAAAATAAATAGAAAGTTTTCCATTTTCCTTGTGTTCTTTTATTTAGTAGGATGCAAAAGATAACTTTGCATATTTTTATTCAACCTGAAACATGTAGAAAACCTGAATTCATGTACATGGATCTCAGGGACTGTGGCAGTGCAAAGTTGCAAAATTATTTGTAATTGAATTAATTGTGTAATTTGTAGAATCACTGCAGACTAATTTATTGCTTTGTGTACACCCTTGTGGTCGCTCCCTTTATTACATGAATAATGGGTTCCTGATGGACTTACTGTATTTAAACTGAGTGACATGTCTCTTGAGATCAGTTATATTTCAGATTACGTATACTTCCTTGTGTTGTTTTGATAGATGCACTTTTCCTTTCATAAAAGAAATTGTGTATTTTTGGGTTTGATTTTTGTTTCAATATATATTGGTGATACATCCTACATCCTATTTCTGTTCAAAACCAACCAATAACAAAAACTTACACAGCATTTTACAGGTTGTTCATGGCCTTCTATTTATCTCTTTTTTGCAGTGACATAAAGAAACTTTTGCTTGATCCAGATTTTACTCTCTTGCAAAGATGCCTCCTAGTTGCCAGGTAATAAAGATTCAGATAACTATATCGAATGTTTCCTAATAAGTCTTGATCCTATTAATGTATGTAAATGTGTTGATGGGTAAGTACTCAACTAACTCTCTTTTAACTCAATCTAATTCCTAAACCACTTACCCCTGTATTAAGAGTGTTTTCAGGGCTGAAAATGGCAGTGTTATCTTACTGAAGCAGTTTTGGTTTACTTGCTGCATGCAGAGAACTTCCTTGTATCTCGGCAGTAATTTCACAAATGCGGTTCTCCTGCCTACATTGCATTTAGTTTTACAATGCCCAAAAATGTAATTCAGAACTTCACAACATGCAATAGGATGTTTGCAGACAGGTGAAGGCCTGGTTTTTATTTCAGATGTGTTTGTTCTCTGTTGTTCTGCATAAACTGTGGCTTATTCTAGTCTGTCTGTATTCAGGGATGTTTTTCAGACTTAATCACTGATATCCTCTTTCAATTACAGGAAAGTTGCTAAGTGTAAAATATTAATAAAATATCAATTTCCACATACTTATATGTTGAACATTCACTGAGTTTAATTGCTATTGTAACAATCTTCTGCATAGCCTCTTACTTACCTAGCTTGCTGACTGTCATTCCCTAATCTTATCTTGTAGTTTGTCCCATTGATAATGCAGAGTACTTGTGGTGTACACAAGAATGAACAGTCCTTGTAGGAAGATGTTTTAACTGTATAATATTTTTATGTGACATACAAAAAATACAAGCATATTGCATGTCCTGATTTGCATCTTTTCAGACTGTATGGGGATGAATCTGAACTGCATTTCTGGACTGTTGCTGCCCACTATCTGCACAGCTTATCCCAAGAAAAGCCAGCAAAACAAATAGACACAGCTATCCTTCAAGAACAGTTGGTCAATCCCTTGGATATATGCTATGACATACTGTGTGAAAATCACTACTTCCAGGTATTTTGAGGAATTAGAAAATACATGTAATGTCATTGGCACAATAAATGCTCAACATTGAAATCTTACTTACTAGCTTTTCTCTGTATGTATTTCACTGTTATTAATAACATACCACTCTGGGTTAAATCACTCCTCGTTATTTAAAATTAAAGGGTGTTCTAAAAACTCTCAAAATACTTCCATATTTTGTAAATGCTTTGTTTTTATTTATTTCTTATGGTAATCTTACATTTCAAATATTTTTCCTTCTTCATGCAGAAATTTCAACTGGAAAGGGTGAATCTCCAGGAAGTGAAGAGATCGACATATGATCATACCAGGAAATGTGCTGATCAACTTCTTCTCTTGGGCCAGGTTTGTGGGTAATATTTGAATTTTTTATTCTTCTTCTCTGTCCATTTTATGTACTTGCCCTGTTCAAGTAAAGCTTTGTCTAATTCATATGTACTGTTTCATACTTTCATTCACCCAGTGCACATTTTTTGCTGTCTTAATGTGTTACTGCACTGCAGACTCTGTAGTGACACAGTGTATTTGTTGTTACCTGCTTCAAGACTATTCCTTTTTCATGGGAACCCTAAAAAAGTCCTTTTAGGTAACAAAGGATAAAGCTAGGGTTTTGGCAGATCTGCACTAAGCAGTGAGACACTGTACAGAGCTGCTCACTGACACCCTGCACAGTATAGCTCATGAGCTATTCCCTACAAGTGCAGGTGTGCTGCATCCATTTTCAAAAATAGCCTTGGTATTGCTGGCTTGAACTTAATTGATTTCTATGTCACATTGCATTTGAGCATGTCAACACATGTTGCCAGTACAAGATGCCAGAAATACTTACTCTGTAGATAGTAAGTTTAAAATGCCAGTTTCTTGAACTTCTAAAATGCCAGCTTATTGAATCACTGGATTTTAATATGTATTTAATGGGGCTTGTCATTATTTCTGTAATTATCTAAGCCTTCAGTTTGACTGGCCTCACCAAAATGACCTCTCTAGAAGTTAGGCACCTCATTTTAGCAACAGGCAGAGGTGACATGCCTGTAGTGATCCATTCCATTTGGAGACAGGTGTCTGCAGGCAATGTAATGAGCCCCACTGAGTAGGTGCTCAGCTGTATGTTAGCTGTAACTAACATTTTAAATGGACAAATTCTACCTTTGTTTTAAAATAGCAGGGATTGAAACAGTCCTTGAGATCCTGGCCAGTTTCTGCATCTTTACAGTTTTATTTCTTCTCTGCCTATTTTAAATGCTTCTCCTCTTTTTATAACTCTGCAAAAGTATATGTAAGCAAGGAAATAAATATTCCCTTCTAGAAATGTTGATCTGTGATTAAGCATTATATTCATGATGGGGTTTTAAATGTTATCCTACTGCATATATTTAATTGAAATAGAATCCTAATTATTACTATTCTGGTAGATATTTTTGCACTCCAATTTAGAATAACTTTCATTGGTATTTGTTCCATGTCTTTAAAAGGGTAAATATATTAAGTCTTTAACCAAAGTAAATATGTTGTGGTCGAAGTTACATTTTTGTTTCTCTTGTCAGACTGACAGAGCAGTGCAACTGCTGTTAGAAACAAGTTCAGAGAATGCACATTATTACTGCGATTCACTCAAAGCTTGTTTGGTCACAACTGTCACCTCATCAGGTCCATCTCAAAGTACCATTAAACTGGTAGCAACCAACATGATAGCCAATGGAAAGCTTGCAGGTAAAAGTCAACTTTAATTTTCCATTTGCTTATAAACCAGTAATTCTGATCATTATTTAAGGCTTATAATCTGGTGAGGCACTGGAATGGGTTGCCCAAGGAGGCTGTGAATGCTCCATCCCTGGCAGTGTTCAAGGCCAGGTTGGATGAGGCCTTGGGTGATATGGTTTAGAGCGAGGTGTCCCTGGCCATGGCAGGGGGGTTGGAACTTGATGATCTTAAGGTCCTTTCCAACCCTAACTATTCTATGATTCTATAATGGAGATGGGAGAGAAGGAAGTTGTCCTGTTGTAATAGATCTTATATGTTGCATATGTAATAGTATGTACTACCTGGAGTAGTTAACACAAAAATAATCACTAATTTAGTTGTAAAGTTCAACTTGTTTCGATTAATTTTCATTGGAAAGCATATTTCCAGAGTAATTCTCTTAGGAATTGTTTGCACAAAAAGAGGCCAAGCCCATAGAACCATGTATTTTTACATTTTCCTAATTAAAGAATTAATTAGAAATTGGCTTCTTATTACTGAAGTTTAAATATGGAGTTAGTTTCCTTTCCAGTTCAGAATTTGTTTCAAAAAGTGTGTCTACTTGCACATACAGCTTAATTTTGCTTAATTGAAGAGATGTTCACCATATGATGATTGACTGAAATACTCAAAAGACATGCAGGGAAAATACAACTGCCTGTACTTGCATGAAAAAAATATTCTGTGGACGTGTAACAGTTCACTGTTAATAATTACACTGTGAGCAACATTAAAATAAAGGATTAGCTGTGAAATCTGTTTATAAGATTTGCAAACACCATTATCTCTTTATGATGATAAATCCAGTGAACCCTTTGTCATTTGTATTTAGGACAAAGATAAAGGAGAGATTTTTGAGGTCTTTCTAAGCCCTGTAGCCCAGAAAAAAAGATATAAAAACTGTCAGCCAGCTTATATGTAGAACTGGATGGTAGGAATTAGGGGTTTTCAACATCTTCATATGCTAAGAAGTATATAGTGATCATTTTCTGGGAAGGAATGATCTGCTCACACTTACATTGCAACTCTTTTTTTCCTTTAACTTATTGTATAGTGTACTTTTTATCTTCCAGAGGGTGTACAGCTACTGTGTCTGATTGATAAGGCTGCTGATGCCTGTCGTTACTTGCAAACTTATGGCGAATGGAATCGTGCAGCATGGCTTGCAAAGGTCTGCAATTTCCTCATTTTCAGTTTGCTAACAGGAATGACCTACTTAGTATATATAGGTGTGAAGGCTGATGAGGATGCTGAAGTTCTCCAAAGTTAGAAGGCTAAATACCAATTTGAAATATCATCATCAGTTCTTTCCATGTGTTAAGCTATTAAAAACCAATCCATTCAGTTAAGTGTTGGCAGGTTCATCGTCAGCCTTTTGGCTACAGAAGTCTGCCTTGGTTGTCCAAATGGTAGGATTGGGGCCTAATAATGGTTGGAATACTCAATTTTCTATTTTTTGAGGAGTGGTTTATGAAGTTGCATACAGCTGCAGCAGTACAGAATTACTGATAAAGTACAAAAAGTCCCCATTCCTGGAAGTGAATAAATGATTTGGCAGTGACATGCTGAGCTCCAGCTAGCCTGTGTGCTAACTTTAAAGTTAGCACCAACCACATAAATTTGCATCAATTTCTGTTTTGCTATGCAGACATTATTACGGTAAAAGTATCTAGAAACAGGATCAGTTTTCCAAATTAAAATGGACAGGAGTCAGTAAGCATGATCTGTAATTAAAGTTTCTGTTATGTTCCCTGCAGAAAGTGTGGAAAAAGTCATGCTCAGATTTTGTAAATCAGTGAATCCTGCTCTTAAGAGAACAAAACATACTTCAGTCTTCAGTATAGGATAAGGATTTCCAGCTTCTTGATGCTTGGGCATTTAGAAAAGCCTTGTGGTGAAGATAGTGTTAATCACATGTAAATGTGGAGTGACCTGAGTGGAGTATTTTTATTCCTATATATTTCTAATTTTCCTTTATATTAGATTAATTCAAGGGATAAGTGTACTTTTGAAAACAAAGCTGGTTCACTTCAGATGCTTTTACTTCTGCCCAAAGTATTTCACTGAAAACACTGAAACAGAAGCAGAATGCTGTCTTTAGTTAGCAACTGAGAATTCATCACTGGCTTTCCCATCTTACAAAGGTTCGTCTGAACTCAGAGGAGTGTGCTGATGTGTTAAAGCGCTGGGTAGATCATCTTTGCTCTCCACAAGTCAACCAGAAGTCCAAAGCCATTCTTGTCCTGTTGTCACTTGGATGCTTTACAAAAGTTGCAGAGATGCTGCACAGGTAAAGATGAAACAGTGCATTCTGTATTTTCCCTTGTCCAAAGTTGTTATTTAAGCATTTATAACATGGGGAGGAAGGGGGTCTGCAGTTTCTGACATTTGTTTCTATTTTACCATGTTTTTCTTTAATGAACTCAGCAGTGCATCATTTCTGTGTGCTGGAACTGATGTTTCTGTTGCAATTTCAGGAAATAACACTGGCATTTAAATTTACTGCAGGCTTTAGGTTTACTAGCACCCCACTGACCAAGCAGTAACAATTTATAATAGCTATGATTATTTTTGAGTTGAGACTTGATCTTTCTAAGTTTTGCATTAAATGTCAGTTCCTTAAGTGCAGGGAGGAGGAGGAGATGTAAGAACTTGGGGAGAGGGCAGTGCCAGACTAGCGGGTGCAGGAGGAACATAAGGCAGGGCATGGGAACAGTATGACCTGTTCCTATATACAGCCTGGGAGCAGCATAGCAGCATTCACTAACATGAGGAAAGCATTCAGCACTGTCCTGATGTAGTGAAACCTTAAGGACTGTGAAGCATGAAGGTGCAAAGTACAGCAGCGTTAGAAAATGAGAACAGTGCATTCTGTGAGAGTCTGAATGTATGCCCTAGTGGTGGCTAAATGGTGATACTGTCTAACCATGGTGATGATCAGAAGCCTGTTCAGGTCTCAGTGCAGAAGAGGTTTGCCACTACACACCTAGGTGCAAAGTTTTAGGAAGCATGTGTGCCAAGTGTTTTGATGCAATGCCTTGGAATACTTTTCTGTTTTGTGTCCTAACAAATTATTCTCTCTTTTTTTTTTTTGCCATTTACCAGTATGAGATACTTTGATAGAGCAGCTTTATTTGTGGAAGCTTGTCTGAAGTACGGGGCATTTGAAGTTAATGATGATACAAATATCCTTTTTTGGAGAATTCTGTTTTTGCATCTCTGTATTCATACACACTGAGTAGGCGTGTGCCAATGTTAGATGAATTCACCTGCACAGGAACAGGAGTTCCTACTTTTATTTTCCAGGTTATGCAGTTTGAAGCAAGTGTGAGGAAAGAAGTGAGAAGGAGTCACTTGCATAAACTGATAACGTTCCCTCCTCCTGATGCTTTGTGAGGCCTGTGGCACTGGAAAACAAACTAAAAGTTAAAAAATCAATCATAAGAGAGAAAAGAATGGATGATAAAATGTTCTTTGCAAAGCTTTGAAATTACTCTATTACTGCAGCCTGTGTAGTGAAATCATAGAATCACGGAATGGTTTGGGTTGGAAGGAACCTTAAGATCATCCAGTTCCAACCTCCTGGCATGGGAGGGGTGCCTCGCACCAGACCAGGTCACCCTCTGGTCCAGCCTTGCCTTGAACACTGCCGCTGATCTGTTCATTTATCTTTTAAACACTGTATCTCAGATGAAACATAATCCCTTAATTGAACCCCTACATCAACATAGTATTGTAGGGATTGAAGTCCTTCGTGGAGGAGTCAGTTCTGAGGCAGTGTAAACAAAGATCAAGATCAGATGAACTGAAAATGTCATAAGTATTTTTAAAAGTATCTGAAGTATCACTACAGTCTGCACATCCATCCTGGTGTTCTGGAAGCTGGACAGTTGCTCTAACATTTATATTGTATGCAGTAAATAATAATGCATGTGTAAATAATACCTGGTAGGATTTTATAGAGTCATCACTGCTATCAACTCGTAAATAAAAGAAACCACTAATAAGTCATTTAGATAACTCCAGATCTAATTAACACCTGTAGTGTGTAGTATGACCTTGTAGTCCTAGTATGGCCTTCTTCATTCCTTTTGCAAGTTATGACATCTTGTTATGGCAGGTAGTTATGGATATCTGAAATATATCTGGTTTAATTTATAGCACTCTGCATATTGCCTGATAAATTCTAATATACATTCAGTAATAGAATTTAAAGCACCTTTTTGTCTTTATTTGTGCTGTAAAACATTGGATTAGCACAATCGGTAGCAATGCTCAGCATTTTGAGCTGGGGGAAGATAAGGAGTGAGAAGAAGAAAAACAAATACAGAGTTTTTTTCATTTTGCTGCTAATTTGTGTTTTCCTTAATGCTTCATTTACATAAATTGATCCATGCTGTGTATGCGGATTATGCCAGAAGTTTGAAGCTGCTGGGCTTTAAGCAGGGAGCTCTTCTCTTTGCCTCAAAAGCAGGGGAAAGTGGTAAAGAGTTACTGACTGAGCTCAAACAGCCTAAAGAAGTGACACAAGAGTAAGAAATTCATGTTCCTGGCAGAGATCTGGGTTGTCTGTCAGACTGAGATTCTGCTGTGTGAAAGCACACTTTTCTCCCGGATCACTGTAATAACTGGTATGTGTGATTTGAGCAAATATTGTTAGATGTGGGTGGAGGTGAGATCAAGGACTGTTTCATGTTCATTTTTGTGTTGAAATTGTCTTCACTTTCACGAGAGGGGAAAGGAGCCCATGATAAAATTATACAAGAATATTTCCAACTTTTTCAACTCTAGCAGAAATCAAATTGAAAAATGTGCTGAAAGAGTTCTATACATGTGTAAAAGTCTCGTCCATTTAAGTCTAAAAATCAAATCTTTCTGGTTCTTTACTGCTGTTGTATTTATATGTATAAATGAGTCAATCTGTACTATAAAAATATAAATATATTTAAAGACACAGTTCTTTCCTGGAACATCGTGTTTGCTCAATCTAACTTTCCTGTTTAAAATTACTGTTATGTTCAATCAGTTCAATGTTTGTAATTTTTGTAACTGTAATGGTATCTTTAACAGGTTTACTTATGGAACATTCCAAAACTCCATGAAACATCCTGTTTTTTCAATTAAAGTGTTGTTATATTCTGTGTTATTCTCAAATGTGCACTCCCTGAACTCTTTAGGGACTAAATTCTGCCTTGTATTGAGTGGTGGATGGGAGAAGATCCTACTTCAAAAGCAAGGTAGGGGCCTGCAGAGTATTCAGGAGACTTAACGCTCTCTCCATGGTTAGTTGTTCTGTTTCTTACTTGAATGTGTGAGTAACCATAGGTAAAAAAGCCCAAAGGCTGGCTTCTTAATTAGTTACTTTTTATGCTAACATTCTTATGGTCCAGATACTTAAGGATTAACACCAATAATGTATTTTTCTCATTTTTGTGCCAGTATTTAGGTATTCTTTTGCATTATTGTTTCTTATGTGAATGCTGATGTTAAATCCCCCTTGTAAATTGAAGACTCTGGCCTGGGAAAATCTGTCTTGGCTAAAAAATAAACCTGTTTTTTTTTAAACCAAGTTGTTGGAGCCACTGAAGTTTAGCATGCAGTAGTGAAGAGTTGTATCATGTAAAAGGTCTTTCATTTGGGTATAATTCATGCATTGTCTACTTAAAGTCATAGTGCATTGGGTTCTCCTTGTGTTCAAGTATTTGTGGATATGTATTCTACAGTCCTTCCTAGAGGAGCACCACCATCAGGACATCTCTAACTCCATAAGCCTTTTAGTTCATATCTAAAATAGCATTTCTGATAGAAGTTGAAGTTAGGCTTTTCAGTAATGATGCCTTTTATACAAACTGAAAATGGGAGTTTCATCACTCTAAGCATAAAAGTGTTTTAACTGCAGTGTATCTTCTTTTTGCCACATCTTACGTATACCATAAAATCCTTTCTGTTCCATACAGTATGGACAACACTTACGTAGTGACTTTAGCTTGGACAAATAAGTCTACAATGAAGTTTGCCTTAAGTATCAACTGGTGAGTGGCAGAGTAGAGCAAAATTAATTGTCACTAATAGTGTCCTAAATTCTGTCTCACTACTACAGCATTCCTCAATTCCTCCTCTTTTTATTGATAGCAGTACTTATGGGCAAGGTTACTACATAGTTAATGTAAGCACACAAAACTTGTTCTTTGAGAGAGATCACATAGAATTGTTTGTCAATGGGTCTCTGGAAAAAAAATCTGCTTTAATATATGGTTGAGTTTATAAATGTTTTTAAGCACATTGCAAAGGCCTTTTAATACTGAATGTTTCTATAAACTTACGTGTGAAGCTTGTAGAATATTGTGTGGCATTCCCAAATGAAGCCTTTGTGATGAATACAGTGTAAAAGTGATTGAAAAGTTGATTTGGATAATAATGCAGTCACACTAAACTAATAAAAACCCTTGAAAATCTCTGTGTGTCTCGATTTACTATAAAAATGTCATCTGTTGCACTGGGATTGAGCGCTCATTTTGTAATTGTTGTTATTTTGCCTTCAGGACTGGAACAATGCTCAGAGCTGGTTTTAGTACATAGAGTTATTATCCTTTATACACACTAGTCACATTTTCTCTGTTAGTACCAATGCAACATTGGGTTTGAGGAGTATTAATTCCCAAGCTTAACTAGCAAACATAAAAGGTCAAATCAGAGCAGGACATTGTCTGCACTTCCTGATTTTTAAAAGCAAGGAAATAAGTAAGGAAAGTAATTTCCTTTCTGTTTTCATGCTACCCCACGGGCAGTAATACAAGACTTTTCCTTCTTTCTCAGCTGCTGCCAGCAAGCATTGCACATCCTGGTTTTGTCTGGGCAGTGTTCAAGGCCAGGTTGGACACAGGAGCTTGGAGCAAGCTGCTCTAGTGGAAGGTGTTCCTGCCTGTGGCAGGGGTTGGAACTGGATGAGCTTGAAGGTCTCTTCCAACCCAAACTGTTCTATGATTCTCAAATATATGAAATGTATTCAGCAATGCTCACTGTCAGCAAAGTCTTGCTTTTCTCCTTAGTTCGTGCAATGTTCCTCGTGGCTCTTCAGATGCTTTTGTCACTTTGGTTTAGAAGTTGTTTAAAAAAATACAAGTAACTGTCTATGTATAATTGGCTTGTAGTGAGTGAAATGTGAGAAGTTTCTCACTTGTATGTTTGAAGGACAAGCATGAGAGTTTGGAGCATTTAAAGTAAGTGAACCAAATGAATTTTTAAAAGTCTTCAATAAATATCATTTTAACTCCTTCAGATCCCTTAGAAAATTCCTTCCTCAAACCACTGTGAATAGTTCAAGTGCAGTGGAAGTTTATAATTGTCTTTTCCAGGTTTTGCATTTTAAAGCTGCTGTCAACAGTGAAGTCTGTAAAGCAGCCATAATTCTGGGCCTGTGTTTGACCATTCTTGGCAATGAAGAAATGGTAGAATTGGGTTTTCAAGCCAACGTATAGAGTTTCTGTATCCACTTGTCCTTCAACATGGGTCTTACATTAATTAAGCTTAATGTTTGATTGTTGGAGCAGATTACTCAGTAGCTATTTGAAGATTCATTTGCAAAAGGCTTGGATATTTGTCCATAAATAAGGAGGGGTTTGGACATTGCGGTTGTTTAGGTGAAGAGCTTCTAGATGGAAAACATCTAAACAACCTAACTGGCAATGGTCATCCCTTTCATTATATCACATGCATCATTCTGGACTTGTATGGCTGACAAAATACCATGCATACAATTAAGATTTCCAGGGATGGAAAAGTTGTCTTCATTTCAGTGAAGCATTCTGAAATCTGTACCTCTGTGTGAAGCTCATTCAGTCCTACAGATGTGTACTTTCTAGATCTGTGTGCTCACATTCAACTAGCGGTTTTACAACCTGAGAGAAGCTTTTGGTAAATATTCTCATGGGACTCTTGTGGTAGTACCTAATCTTAAGAACAGGGTTATTCCTTTCAATTCCTGATGTGATTCTTAAAGAAGGTTAAGACCAAATAACCTGAGTTTTATGACCATGAATTTTACTTGTTCTAGCTGTAATTAAAAGACTCGAAAATAGTCTAGCAGCTTAATTTTGATATAAGCAAGCCCTAATGAGAGTTTTAATTAAAGCATGATGCGCCTCGCAATAAAGGCAATATCTGAATTAATTGTATTGAATAACAGTGTCCAAAATTTCCTAATTTGGATCAATTTTTGCAGTACTTCTCAAAAAATTGTTATATATTGTGTGTGCGTACATATGTTTATACGTACGTGTACATGCATGCATATACGCATGCATTTACTTGATTCCAGGGGAATAATCTATGGAAAATGACAAAATGAATTACTTGATTGCAGTGTAAAACTGAGTAGTACTGTGTTATAAATTTATACTTCCATTAAAATGCAAACAGATTGCTAATTTAGAGACTTTGCAAGCAGATAGGGGCATATATTTTGCATCAAGAGAACCTGGTCCGGCATGTTGGTGTCTTCAGTGTCTGAGTAAATCTAAGAGATGATGCTTTGCAGCAGTTGACCCTAGCGACAGAAAACGATGATCACAGATTCTTTCAGGGGAAGTGGGTTGGGTTTGCAAAATATATCTGAATATATATATATATATATATCTGAAAAGGCATCAAGCAAATATATCTGAAATAGAGCATCTAGATTATTTTTAATTATTTCTAAAAATTCTGGAATTTCTTTGTGTTTAACTTGTTTGTTTTAAGATTTAAATAGCTTTTTAGCTTTGGCAAAACTGGAAGAAAAATGTGTATGCTCAGAGAAGGGAACCAACTAACAGACTCAAAATGCAATTGCAGAAGGTAAGTGGTGCCCCCCTATGTCTGCTGGAGGAAGGGAAGCTTAAGTTTTGTTTCAGCCTTGAAAATCTTAGATAAGCAGTTACATTCTTCAAGGGTGGTGAGGCGCTGGAATGGGTTGCCCGGGGAAGTTGTGAATGCTCCATCCCTGGCAGTGTTCAAGGCCAGGTTGGACAGAGCCTTGGGTGATATGGTTTAGTGTGAGGTGTCCCTGACCATGGCAGGGGGGTTGGAACTTGATGATCTTAAGGTCCTTTCCAACCCTAACTATTCTATGATCCTGTGATACTCAGTTTGTTTCCATGGAATTAATTGAATTTATTGGTCCCCTTTCCTAACATAAACTTCCTCCACCTTCCTACTTTCTCCTTTTTAAGTATTAATGCAACAGCGGCAGGAGGAGGGATCACGGATGATGGGAGTTTGTGATTACACATTATAGAGCAGCTTATGAGCAGGCCAGCAATGTTACAAGTAAATCGAGGTTGTCTGTTAGACTCCAGACTCAGGAGGTGGCAAAGGGAAGGATGTTTAAACCATACTCAGTGGTTTCCTTTCTGCGAATCTGACCCGTAAGTTGAAAATACTTTCTTACCCCATGTCATTGTCACCACTGCTTCATTTAGCAAATACTGCCTGGAGTTCAGTGCGGTTCCCACTGACAAACTCCAGTTCAGTGACTGCTTTCCAGAGGGTTACTGAGCAATAGTATAATACAGTGTTCAAGCCAGATGACAACAGCTGCTTTAAAAACACCCTAGTGTGTTGTCATTACTTTTCACCCTAGTGTAGGAGTAGGTAATAGGGTTATATTAGACGTCTCTATTTCCCATTTCACTTGCTGTCTCAAAAAGCAATAGGCAACAAATGTCATTTGCAAAAGGAAGTTTGTCTGCACTTCTTTTTATGAGTGGTCGTTTTCTTTCAGGCACTGGTCTCCTTTTGGTGACCCTTTGAAGATGTTTTTCTCAGTATTGCTTGTGAATGAAACCTTACAGTAGCTTGTAAGAAGCTGTCATAGGTATTAACTAAATAAAAAGAACCATGCACAGCATATGTCTTTACAAATCACAGTTCCTTAGTAGTATAATGCATAACATTCATGGTTCCCTCTT